GCGATGAGTCACAATAACGTGGCTGAAGTATGTTGACCAGACCACACACTAGAAGGTGAAGGGACGACGACGTTTCGGTCCGTCCTTGGACCATTCTCAAGTCGATTCAATAAACTGGAAGCTCTTCTGCCTGTCTTCAGTAGACGGGAAAAACCAACACGAATTTTCAAACCGAGAAGACTGGTAGAGGAACGGAGTGAGCAATAGTGTGACGGGCAATACGGACGAACACGACGTGAGGGTAACTCGAAGAGGAAGGAAGATAATATCCGAAAAGAACCAATTATAAGGAGGAGAAAAGAGAACAGGAAATCCACTGGAGATCATTACTTTAGAAGAGATGTACCTGGTGTTAGTGGTGTTTCTGGCGGCCGCTCACAGGGGGAGTAAGTATCATTATATTTTAGTGAACAATAATGAACACTATCACCATTAGCGTCATTATATCCAGTTCTATATATAATAGGTTTGGTAACTACACCATTCTGCCCTAACTACGCTGTCTTCTTACGCGTGTTGGAATGCTTATAGAGCTTTCTCTACCCTACACACAGAAATCACAATAGCGTGATGCATTAAATGAACAAATCCACAAGGGCGTGAATTTGCAAACTCCACAAGGTTCGAACCCTCGTTACGGCCCTTGTGGATTTGTTCTTTCTCTACCCTACTATTTTTTCCCCCTGGAAGGCAATCAAACAATAGGTTTACAACCAGGTTCATATTACTGCTGGGTAAAGAGGGGCGATCAGCCAACTCTGCCTTGCTAAGGCTCGAACGCGGATTGTTTCGACATGGGCGTCATTTGTCCAATCATGTTAAGCGTATCTTGAAAGAGCTTTCTGTGTCTGACGGAGAATTGTTGTTGTTAGAGATTTGCCACTTGAAACAAAGTTCCAAGTAGCACGGGCTATGGTGAGCCCGTGTGACGGAGAATACACCTTACCAATATAAATACTACACTACTGCACCTTTATTTTAGCCGATAGGCCGGGGAAGCGATGCCTCTATCTTTTGAATTAAAATATTTGCAATATCGTACAGGCAACTTGTTTTATTTAAATATTATTGGATTTAAGTTTCAGAAACCATTACGTGAATATAGTACTCTCGCTACCACCATTTGGATGAGAAAAGTTCTATAATAAACTAAAATAATTATTAATTATAACAAAAATTAAATTTTTTTAAGATAATATTAAAGTTAGTCCGTCATTTTCATCTTTTTCTTTTCCCGTTTTCTATCATTATTCACTTTGACCCGTGACTAATGTAAATATTTATGTTTGCCAGATTAACCACGGCGACAGGTCTGCTTCACTTCGAACGTGCGGGTGTTTATTGTCATTTGTCTTCGTCACTCATACGTGGGGTGCATGTGTGTTTGTGATCGATAATTGTCAATGTTTAAATAGGCGACAGGTTTGTAGCTCTTATATGCACGATATTTATAACTTAAACGATGTTCCATTGTCGGGTACTGAATGCCTGTTCGGATAATCGAGGTTCCGCTAATGACTGATAATGCCTTCTTCGCCTGCCAGGTAGCCGGCCTACCCCCGCCTGCCAGGTAGCAGACCTACCCCTCGCCTGCCAGGTAGCCGGCCTACCCCTCGCCTGCCAGGTAGCCGGCCTACCCTCGCCTGTCAGGTAGCCAGCCTACCCCTCGCCTGCCAGGTAGCCGGCCTACCCTCGCCTGTCAGGTAGCCAGCCTACCCCTCGCCTGCCAGGTAGCCGGCCTACCCCCGCCTGCCAGGTAGCCGGCCTACCCCTCGCCTGCCAGGTAGCAGACCTACCCCTCGCCTGCCAGGTAGCCGGCCTACCCCCGCCTGCCAGGTAGCCAGCCTACCCCTCGCCTGCCAGGTAGCCGGCCTACCCCTCGCCTGCCAGGTAGCCGGCCTACCCTCGCCTGCCAGGTAGCCGGCCTACCCCTCGCCTGCCAGGTAGCCGGCCTACCCTCGCCTGCCAGGTAGCCGGCCTACCCCTCGCCTGCCAGGTAGCAGGCCTACCCCTCGCCTGCCAGGTAGCCAGCCTACCCCTCGCCTGCCAGGTAGCCGGCCTACCCCTCGCCTGCCAGGTAGCCGGCCTACCCTCGCCTGCCAGGTAGCCGGCCTACCCTCGCCTGTCAGGTAGCCGGCCTACCCCTCGCCTGCCAGGTAGCAGGCCTACCCCTCGCCTGCCAGGTAGCAGGCCTACCCCTCGCCTGCCAGGTAGCAGGCCTACCCCTCGCCTGCCAGGTAGCCGGCCTACCCCTCGCCTGCCAGGTAGCAGGCCTACCCCCACCTGCCAGGTTACAGTACTGACTAATCTCACACTCTTTCAGGCGCCGGCGAGACGTGGTTGGCGCGGCTACAGACCCACGGCAAGGCCACCACGAATAGCTTCTTGGACACCGGCCATGGCGGCCTTCCTCAACTATCCGAGGCGAGTCTCTCTAACCTCCCTTAGTCAGATTTACAATAAGTCAAGCCAAGGATTCATCAAGCTCAACTACTTACGGAACCCGTAGATCTTACCTTAACCATGGGGCTTTTTTTTATTTCGTAAACAGTTAACGGGCTTGGGAACGTCACAACATTAGGCTATTATTATGATAATCTCGTTGTGTTTAGAAGCTCATAAACTGTTCAATAAATGTAAAGAAAGCCGCCATGATTAAGGAAAGATGTACAGATTTCGTAAGTGGTTGCGTAAGTGCTTGATGAATCTAGGCTATAGTTTCTGAGCCGTTCATGAGTGTGAGGGCTTGAGAAGGTCACACTTATATACTAGTATGCAGGAAAATATTCTCGTGTATTGACTTGTAGCAAGTATATTATGTCAGTAATATACTTGCGGTTCTTAATTTAAAGTCTTAAAAAATTGCTCTTAAAAATACTTTTTTAAAAGCTAAAAGGGGTACCACCTCTGGTGCAAGTGTTGGGAAAAAATAAATAGATTCAAAATATGTACCAGGTTCCACGATATTAAGAATTACTCTCCGTTTGTTTAGCCCTCAAAGACCCACCAATCACCAAACACCTAACATTTAGCAGGTGATACATCCACGAATTACAAGACTCGTTACTTTTTGTCGTTTATAGACCCACAAATCACCAAACTCTTAATCTTTCATCCGAAGATCGTCGTATTGTGTTCCTGCTTGGATGAGAGGTTCTGATCCCCCTAGTGATGGGTTCGTCTCCTCTTCAGCTGAGTCTGTGTGTGCGCCTCCGGGTCCTCCACGCCTCACAAGACAGCTCTCTCCTGAGCTACTTCGCTGACGACGTCGACGGAGAGATCTCCCTCAGTGTCAGTGAGTCAAAGCGGTGCTCGAGTCATGTCAGTTAAGGGTGCAACTCTTTGAGGTAAATTATAGATATGATAGCAGTCGCGTTCACTCCTCGTTCCATGCTCATCTAAACTACATGGAGGCTCTAAATGGCTTTGCGAAATATATTGATGGTGCATGCATCACTAGATCATTAGATCACTGTAACATGGGCACTAGATCATTAATAACATTTACCTAACGTATCATATAACAGGTTTACAATGTAATCCAATCCCTAGTAGTTATTATAAAATGAAGAAACCAGCTATATAATTCAGTTTCAAACGTATTTGGCAACATGTCAAACCCTACTGAAAATATATTCCATCAGTGCTATAATTTGTCCCACTAAATACACAATAATACACCAGTACATTCCCTTGATGTCATACACATATTTCACCATACAATGTTCACGTAAAAGCACTCCATTTCACTTGGATATATACAAAAGTTTTATCCCGGGCTGCGTGTGGACGGGTAGACATGACAGCAACGGGCGCCTCGCTGCGGTTCAGCTGCTGCAAGGGACGGGTTCAGTCTACCGTCATTCCCTTGCCAGGCTTCCGTCTGTACGTGTGGAACCACCTCTGCCTCTCCCTCCACCTCTCCTCCAACATCAACCTGAGGGCGCTCAACGGGCAGGTGGGTGATGCTGACACATCTGGGTTTACGTGAGCGTGTGGGCGTGATGCTCAGTTACGTTTCTACTTCAGTTTATCCTTAAGTTTGTTTTTACGGGGCTTATTATTAACATTACTCGCACACGTGATCAACCTGTTCTCCTACGAAAAACGTCACTTTTCGATCGTGTGCATTACATTAGGGCCAAAAATTGTCGTACTCGAAAATGGAAGCGGCTCACGAAAGTTGGGAAACCTTAGGAGGACGGGTTGCACATCAACGTGTGCCATAACAGGTTTCCTGGGGTCAAATCAACAATACTTGCACCTAAATTTCATAGTTTATTGCACACTACTTTGTTAAGATGCCTACACTTGTATAGTGATTTGTCAAATGCAAGATTCCGTACTTCAAAAGCTTCTGCCATATCCTACAGTCACGGACAGGACAGAATGTAACATTCATCAGAGTTGAGGAGACGAGAGATATTTCCTAATGAGCACTTGGAGTAGCTAGACGTTTCTTATACTGCCTTTATCCGTCAATTCAATTTCTTTCTTTATTATGCACCCCATACCCATCCCGTGAGTGGTGGTGTAAAGGATTACAGAGGCACATAATCGGTTCAGGAACTGAACCCTCTATCCGTCAGAATCAGTGAATATACAACAACGTATGAATATTGACTATTGGTGGGTTCGGTGATGGGCATAATGCCTATCAACCTCTGGAGGGGTTATTAAGGTCATCACTATTTCTTATTGACCACTCAAGTATACTTTAGGGCTGGACATAGTCCAGAACTAAAGAAAACTTTTAGTGTGTATACACCGAGGAGTAGACTATACACATATCGGTGTATATAACCTTGACTATGAGATATAAGAGGAAAGTCAAGCACAAATTTAATATTATCTGAATTCATTGAAACTGTGACATTATTAATTCAGTTCAAAGTTTGTCTACCAGATAGTATTTCAAGTATGTTTTGCATACAACTTTTTTTAAGAATATAATGACCCACACATTATCATAATAAAAACAGTATTATATTTTCTTCAGCATGTACTACATTCTTCAGCATGTAGACCTGTGTGTGATCTTAGAGCTATAGGCTTTCCGTAAAGGTTGTTATTGATGGCGAAAGTTCCCAACTGCATTAATTTTCCTCGGTAACTGCAACAAATAGTTAACTACACAGCAGATAGTGATTCCTTCTGCTGTTTCACAGGTCGGCGAGTGGCACTTTCTCGAGGACCAGTTGGGAAAGGCCATACAGGAGCCCCTGGTGGTGGTGGGCGGAGGTCGCCTAGTAGTGGGGCAGGACTTGGACATTCCTGATGGAGGCTTCAGCATCAGCCAGTCACTTCATGCTGAGATTGCTGACTTTCTCTTGTACGATGTTGCTCTAACAGCACCAGAGATGATCACTTTCATGTCCTGTCAGCAGAACATAACACATGATCCCGTCATTTATCTGGACGGTAATGGCACCGTCCTCCGCGCTGTTGGCGAGACGGAGGTATCACGGGTCAGCGAAACACAAGTGTGTGAGAAGGCTGAGGGTTACACCCTGTTGTTTCCTGAGCGGATGAATTTTTATGAAGCCGTCATATGGTGTGGTACACTGCAGGGCAGCGTTGCCCTCCCAAGAAGCAAGAAGGAGAACGAGGAGATCCATGACAGGTTCCAGCGGTTCAACGACGTGTGTCTGGACGGTTGGGGTACTATTTACTACTTGGGTGCAGTGGGTAACTCGACCACCGAGAAGTGGTCGGCAGTGGTCGATGGCGGCCCGCTGACCTGGGATAACTTCGACCCCGGATGGAACAAACCAACCAACGGATACACTTGTTCCAGTGTAGGCTCACACATTTTTCCCTACATCTGGTTTTCTGCCCCTTGTAACAACAAAATGTGCGCCCTCTGTAACTTCAGGTCGCACCCTGAGCTTCGCATTCGCGGTCTTTGCACCTCATCTTTGTTTGACAGAATTTTCTACCTCCACGATTACGAAAACGATCGGCCAGCGTTTGACGGGCTGGAGCAGAGCCGCATATACTGGAACAACGACACCTGGGTGATGGAGAGTCGTGTGCATGAGGGACTGCGAGCCCTCATGGTGGCGGTGAGGACGCAGGAGTACCCACTCGGCCTGCACACCTGGGCCATCCATCAGGACAAGTGCCATCAACCACAGGTACGGGCTCTCACTTTGGTTGATTTTGTCAAGAATTCTGTAATGTGTGAAGGAATGGGGTCCAACCGCTTGGACCCCATAGAGCGACGGTATCACTTTATGCTGGTTGGCGTTCAGTCCACGACTGTCCAGAATGGTTGGGCATTATTCTTTCCCCCATCCTTATCCTAACCCCTTCCAAGTGCTATATAGTCGTAATGGCTTGGCGCTTTCTCCTGATAGTTCCGTTCCCTTCCCATTCTGGGTCTGATCAAAATTTGTAACCTGAAAACTTTAATTGTTGCATAAATTCACAACAAAAACATTTGAGACGGTTGGTGACTATAATTCTTTGTAACGGGCGTAAAGCTCAAGAACTATTTAGAAATTGTCATTTATTTTCACTGATATAGAGCTAGAAACCTACTCCATACACCATAGCCAAAGTCAGCTCTATAATGGTATATTACTATGTTTGTCAGGTAGAGCTGCTGCTGACGTCATGCGGAAGAGACGACTACACCTGCAACAGTGGCGCCTGCATCAGCAAGCGGCGCCGCTGTGACCTCATCACTGACTGCAGTGACCTCAGTGACGAGTTCGACTGTGATGTCATATACACGCCCAGTGGGTACTCGGCCGCCTTGCCTCCCCCGAAGCTGTCCTCTGAGCCCCTACCACTCTTCTTCTCTCTAACCATAACCTCCATCAGGGAATTCAATCTGGTTGAATTTACCTTAGTGCTGGACGCCATTGTGAGCCTCAGATGGCACGACAGTCGTCTCATCTTCCGTAACTTACAGGAGGACTTCCGCGCCAACAAGGTGAAGGATCCCAGCCGCGTGTGGCAACCGGGGGTGTTTATCAGAGACGGCACAAGGGGCGCCGTTGACGCTCAGCCACGATCCCAGGCCCTCTTCGTCGTCCTCGGAGGGCAAACCCTAGCAGACGATGACGCTGTTGTTGCCGAAGGTGCGCAGTTCAGGGGTTTTGTATGAAATGTAGATAAATGTTAATTCTCAACAACAGTTTATTCTCATTTGGCTTTGCAATTTTGGCGCCAGTTTGAAACACAACCCGCATACATCGCCGAGGTGATTGTTGTTGTTGTATTATCCACAAGTAATAAGGTGTCTCAGATCTCACAAGCTTAATTATGTCCTTCTCACCATGGGTTCCGTTATTATAAGCATTACATTATTATATTCCATAATACAACCTTTTTGAGTTTCCTAAAGAAAAATCATATGGACACGACTCAGATACTGAGCGACCAATGGTAATAGAATATCTGAACAAATAAGTTCTGATGCTTTATAGTTGAATTAATCCTTTTATATAATTCCAGTTTATTGTTGCTTTAAGAAAGGTTGAGTTATTGAGAAATAACCCAACAAGTTATTTCCTCCACTCACAACTCGCCTTACACAAGAATATGTTAAGAATATTTTTTATTGAAAATGATGGAAGCATTTACTGTAATATAAATTTTATTTTAAAATATATTCTGATTAGACACGAATGTGTCTAATAATAATAAAATTTGCTAAATTTATAATTAGCACAGGATCTAAGAAAATACATGTTTGTACCCAAAAGCAAATTTAATCATGCTAATGCTTTGGAAAAATTTGAAGAAATATAAACATTGATTTATATAAAACAAACTATCCATACTTACATAAAAAATACATTCTAATATCATGTATCGAAATGTACATAAATGTTCCAAATTTCCCCGTCTGTTTCTTTTCCACCGTGGCGCCAGAGGACAGCTTCAGCGGGCGGTGGAGCCAGCTTGTGCTGGAGCAGGAGAGTACCCTCACCTTCAGGTGTCAGTTCCAGCTGCGCATGTACCCTGTCGACCGTCAGCGGTGCCTCCTGGTCTTCACCGTACACGACCTCACCAACAAGTTCGCAGTCCTCACGCAGGTGGGCAGGGTCAGGGGGGGGGGATAAATAAGATATCAGGTGTTTTTTTAAAGCTATAGTTATGTATAGATGTAGTCAGGTGTGAGTTGCAGTGAGCTCTTGGCCAGGTGTGTGTGTGTGTGTGTGAAAACTTGGTTACATCAGGTGGGGTGTCAAGGTACGAAGATTTTCCAATATAGCAATAGTTGATGAAGAAGGATTAGCCAAATACAGTACACAGTTTTATTGTTGGTCTACCAGGTCTCAAATTTTGCACCGTCTTGTCCTGGGACTTCGGTTCCACTCTGCTGTCATAATCAATATGAGCCTTGAATCCCATATTATTTAAAGGTCTTCAGGGACAGCATCTGACCTCTTTTAGTTTGTTTACTGGATTCTTTCCCTTAATAGTTTCTTCCCCTAACATTTTTGTTCCCCTTGCAGTTTCTTCCCTTGACAGTTTCTTCCCTTTGCAGTTTTTCCCCTTACAATGTTTGTTTTTACTAAACATGAACTATCAATGGAATAACCAACTAGCAGAGAGTCTCCCCTTCAGGACGCTGCTGGGGTGAAGTTCGAGGGATCCCGGCGCCTGCTGGAGTACGAGCTGGTGAAGGAGTCACTGACAGCCATGGTACAGGCCAACACCAGCCTGGTGCGGGTAGGTATGAGGGCGAGGCTCATCCTCACCATTCGGTATGAGTTCGGGGGTTCAGGAACCGAGAACGGACCCACATTGAGTCAGTTATAAACTTAGAGGCCCATGAGAAGGTACACCAGCAAGGGCTCCCAAAGGGTTTTTAAGCGTGTGATTCTATTATTATTGTTATTTGATCCAAACATTGTTGCTATCAGCATTGTAACCATAACACCCTAGGTTGTGCTGGAGTTCGACAACCTCTTCGGCTACTACATCTGCAACACCTTCGTGCCCAGCCTCATGCTCGTCATCATCTGCTTCCTGACGCTCTTCTTCGACTTGGCAGACTTCCAGGTGAGGGAGACGCCTGCGATGTCTCTGTGATCCATTAGACTTTCCGGTAGTCTACTGTAATGACTCTGTGATCCTTTCTGGGCCCAAGGTGGCCCAGGATCCTGGGCCACCTTAGGCGCTGATTTGATCCCTGTCCAATCTGATTTGATACCATCAATCCCTGATTGACAGGGCTCAAATGCTGATTTGATTCCTGACCTGTTCTGTTGATTTTCTCAATTCAGGGCTCTCGTGTCTGTTGGTATCTGGCAATTTTGTTCAATAAACGGACAGGACTTTCCAGAACCTAAATTGATCAAATTTGTTTCCACTATTCCATGTCCTATTTTGTGTTCATATTTTTAACACTATTTGTATCTCTTTTATTATATTCTTTCATCCATTTGTGTACTTCATTCATGTTACTCTTGACTCTTGGCATTTCTACAGAATGTAAATTAAGCTGTCTTAATCTCTCATCATATGTGGGGTGCTAAATTCCCGGGATTAATATTGTTTGCCTATTTGTTTCGTCAAGTGTTACCCTGTGTCGAAACAATAGATATAAATTGAAGTTTAGACTCAGGAAAGACCTTATGTTTGAGATTGCTTTAAATTTGGATCGCTGAGAAGTGCAGCTGAGCTGGGCAGGAGTGCCAGCTGCTCACAACAGCTATCAACAAGGTAAAATACTTAGAGCATAGGACATAATCTTGAATAGATCTTGCCAGATATTGGTCGTGTCTGATCCCAGCACTTTCAGTCAACCTGTCCACTTACAAATAATGTTGCTTTTTGCTCGTTTGCACTAAGAATAAAAATTGTCACACTAGAAAATGAAAGCGGCTCGCGAAAGTGACGGACTGTCCCCTTTTCTGTTTTGGCTCCTCTGACTTAGTCTGTTAGGTTAGGAAAGGACACTTTAAATTAACAGTTTTTATAACGTATTGAAACCTTAAGAGAACTTACAGCTCTCCTAACCTTCGGTCCATTTCATTTGGAAATAAATTTCCATTTTTCTAGTACGCCAATTTGTGGTCGTAGAAATTACAAGCGAAAAGCGACATTATTTGTAAGAGGACAGGAAGCCTGCCTAGAGTTGTCCCTGATCTACCTGTACTCACTCACCTTTTTGTGCTCGTGGGGGGTTGAGCTTTGGCTCTCTGGTCCCACCTCTCCTGTTTCCTTCTGGTTGCTGCTCAGATAAATTAGTTTTGCATTATATATATTTTTAATTATTTAAAAAAAATAATCTTGCTCCTTAATTTTCATATAGAAAATTCTTGATTGTAACTTCATGTAAGAACAATTTTGGGGGTAGACTTTTATATTATAGGTAGAAAAATAAGAAGAAAATGGGAACATATATGACACCAGTAACTTATGTAATGTCTTGAGCATAATGACCCGATGGTAGCAGTATTTAGTGTTTATAACCCTGCAAACACACAACGTAACGATCTCTATGATTTCCTTGTTACAACTTGTAATAAAGCTGTTACATTTTGTTATAAAACGTTTTTAAGACATATTTGAACGTTGTGACATCTTGTTATAAAGCGTTTTTATGACGTATTTGAACATTGTGACATATTGTTATAAAACGTTTTTATGACATATTTGAACGTTGTGACATCTTGTTATAAAACGTTTTAATGACGTATTTGAACGTTGTTACAACGTGCTATATTGGTTGTTACAATTGTTACGTGTTAAAAATTGTTCGAATGTTGTAGCAACGTTGTAGTTTCGTTGTAGTAATTACCTATTTGGCGGGATATATATATATACATCTGACTTCACATCTTGTTGTCAAAGGACCGCATCATGGTGTCCCTGACGGCGATGCTGGTGCTGGCCACGTTCTTCAGCCAGACCAGCCTCACCATGCCCAAGACCTCGTACATGAAGCTCATCGACATATGGTACCTGGCGCTCATCTGCGAGGACTTCCTCATCATCGTCTCCCTCGTGTTGCTGGAGAACCTCCGCCTTCAGCAGCAGAGCAGCCTCCTCAAGGTTCAGGTCCTCTCCTTGCATCACCACCACCAAGGAAGGAGGAACAACAAGCAGGACGTCGCACGCTTCCGGTCTGATGACAGAGCCGCGGAACTCAATCGAAAACTGGTCATCTTCTTCCCTGTGACGTTATTGATATTTTTGATCTCTTTCTTCGTTGTGTGCTTCTGTGGGTGAAAGACCGGAGGGCTCGTGCCCCTGCAAACACAAAACCACTGTCCCTATTCTCTGCTTGTTACAACTTGTAATAAAGGTGTTACATCTTGTTATAACGTTTTTATGACGTTTTAGAACGTTTTTATAACGTTATATATATTGGATGTAATTACGTTTTGTTAGGTATTAAAACTTATTTGAAGGTTGTAGCAACGTCGTAGTTTCGTCGTGTGTTTGGCAGGGTGTTGCCTCTGTGCTTTCTTGTCCTCTGAAAGGTCATCAATGATCCTCTAAAATCGCCATCAATGGTCCTCAATACGGGATATCAATGATGCCCTGAAGGGTCATGCATGAAGAAAGATCATTGTTTAGGGAACACATTTCTAATAGATTTACAAATATTTAATGCTAGGTAGTGTTGAAAATTCACTATTGCATATATTCAAATGATAGTGTTCTGATTTAAAATAATTTATATACCAGGTTTATATTAACCTGAAATTCAGTTGACAGAGTTTCTCCTCCCAATCTAAAATGATATTATTTTCAGACCATTTGTTTTGAGAAATATTTCAATGTTATAACGAATAATTGTATGCATATGAACAAAAATTCTTTAGTTATTTATGCATAGGTTCTGTAGGTATGTATCATGTCTATATAATTGATGTGTTCATTTTGCGTACAGTAATCTTGACGTCAAAATGCGACGTTCTATTAGGAGGACGGGTTGTTCCACCTGTCCTCGTAATAGTACCTCGCATTTTGACGTATACTCTACCTAAGGCCAAAAATTGTTGTACTAGAAAATGGAAGCAGCTCATTTAAATTTTACATACTTTCCCGTTTTCTGTTTTGGGTCCACTGGTAGGTTAGGATAAGGACACTTTAGTACGACAGTTTCGTGACATATGGGAAACCTTAGGAGAACGGACTGGGGATCATGACGCTTTGAAACTACTGAAGGTTTTGGCCTTCACCGCCCTCTCATTTGAACATGTTCAAACCATCTACCACACTGTAAAAGGGTGACTCGTTCTTGAACTTCCTAGTGGGAGTTGTTAATAGCATTGACCAATGCTATTTTGCGCCTGTTTTGGTCTGTTAATAGCCAGCATATTCTCATTAGCGGGAGGATTAATTAAAAAATATGTGGAGTAGCAGTGGGTTTTGTACTCTTTAATTTGCATACGGTTCTGGAGTTTCACTGGATTTGTCATTAATATAAATATTCTTTGAATAATGAGCTTTAGATCTTGAAGATCTAGCAGCTAGTTTAGTTCATTTATTATACTTCCCATACCCATCCTGTGGGTGGTTTTGGACCGCATACCTATCCTGAATGTGGTAGTAGACCCCATACCTATCCTGGGGGGGAGGGAAGTGTAGTAGACCCCATCCCCATTCTGTCCTATGGGTGGTAGTGGACCCCCATACTCATTATGTGGGTATTAGTGGACCCCATACCCATTCTGTGGGTGGTAGTGAAAAGGATTACAGAAGCACATAATGGGCTCAGGAATTGAACCCAAAATTCATTTAACTAAGCAAGTTACAATCTTGATAATCTAGTTACATAGTTTAATGTATATTTATCAAGAAGACCCAGCAGAAATGGTTTCACATTTTATTGATAGAATCAAAAGCTATTCCTTGAGCAATAAGGAGGTGACCTGTTGGATGTGAATGAACTGTTGCGACTTTTGATTTTAAAGCATTGTTAACAGATAAGAAAGTTTAGACGATCGCTGTGAGTTTGAGCATGAAAGTAGAGGTAAAGCTTGGTAGCTGAGTGTTACATGGGATGTATAGCACTTTCTTATGATAATTAGCGTATAATACTCCCCCCCCCCCAGCCACTTGGCCTGGTCAGTACAGGAGTACAACCCGTCCTCACATTAGGCTGGTTAAAGCAGCGGCCGTCCTCAGATAACCCGTCCTCACATTAGGCTGGTTAAAGCAGCGACCGTCCTCCCCAGACAACCCGTCCTCACACTAGGCTGGTTAAAGCAGCGGCCGTCCTCCCCAGATAACCCGTCCTCACACTAGGCTGGTTAAAGCAGCGGCCGTCCTCCCCAGATAACCCGTCCTCACACTAGGCTGGTTAAAGCAGCGGCCGTCCTCCTCAGACAACCCGTCTTCACACTAGGATGGTTAAAGAAGCGGCCGTCCTCCCAGTTTTAACATAACATTCATCAATTTTAACATACTGGACATTAAAAATCGGTTTGTACTCATATATAAATTAATATTCCTTTACATAAAAATTCTATGTATAGTTGGGCATAGGTTAGGTTAGGTTAGGTTAGGTTAGGTTAGGTTAGGTTAGGTTAGGTTAGGTTAGATGTATAGGTTCTGTTTGGGATTAATTGTACTTGAAGTACGTAGGTGAAACATTTATCGAATTGTGGTTTGAACAGACAACTTGAGCGAAACATTTGTTATGGAAGTATTCAGACGTGATCATTTTGGAGTCGTGTGTAACATCCCGTCCTCTAAACAAAGGCCAAAGTCCATTCCATGCACCCACCAAACCCCCTGTTCATGAATGAAAAACGGTTTACACACGATTCACAACTGATGACGTCCGAACACTTCCGGAACAAGTGTTTCACTGATGAATTTTCTTCGAACCACAACGCTATAAATGCTTCACCCACGTACTACAAATACAAATAATCACCAACAGAACCTAAACACCTAACATAACCTAACCAATACCTAAATATGTACAATATGCAAATATAAAATAATATTAATTTATATTTGATAAAATTCCTGTTTTGAATGAACAGCATGTTAAAACTGATGAATGCATCTTTGGGGTCGACCGCTGGATGAAATGGATTTGGTCCGAGGACGGGTTGTGTGTAAACCGCTTTTCATTCATAAACAGGGGGGTTTGGCGGCTGGATTAACGAGCTTGGATCTTTGTATGCGAGGACGGGCTGAGTGGTGACCTTCGTTAGCTGAAGGTCTGCGTTCGATCCAATATGGTCCAATAAGGAGTGGATGGATGGACACTGTACCTTCCCTCTGCCTTCTGCTTTCGCCTTGCCCTCAAATCCAAGTGCGATGTGGTGATTCTGGCTTAGTGCTGTTTGCTGACTTGGTTCATTATAATGACTTCTGTTAATAACTTGGTTCATTAATGACTCATGTTAATGATCTGGTTCATTAATGACTCCTGTTAATGACTTGGTTCGTGTAGGGAACTAATAGAGACAGTGATAGTGGTTCCCTGGATCTTTATAATTTGGCACCTATGAGGGACGTCTTGAGAGCCATCGTTAAGTGTGCGTGATAAGTGTCTTAAGAACCACCATTAAGTGTGCATGATAAGTGTCTTAAGAATCACTGTTAAGTGTGCATGATAAATGTCTTAAGAACCACCTTAAGTATGCATGATAAGTGTCTTAAGAACAACCATTAACCCCTTCAGTAAGAGACATAAGTACATGTATGCGCACGGTGGAAGATGGTCGCTACCTAACCATCATATTATTTACGAAGTTCATGATGCTCTCACGTAACACGTCGCGTTTGTTACGGAATCGACCGATCCATCAAAGAATCCGGCGCATTACTAACCAAGCACCGCAATATTTACGTTTTCTATGCAAATCTAGTGAGATCGGGTTGGTCACTTTTCTCGTGGTGAGTCGGCGCGCTCCTGGGCGTCTTCCAAACCCGGGATGAATGATAAGTTGGTAACCCCTTTCTCATCTTGCTTGTGTGCAGCCTCCCCGCCGCCTGCTGCTCCTGCTGCTGCTGCTGCTGCTGCTCCATTCTTAGCGCTGAAGAACCCGTTAGACTCTGGCAGGTCACAGCTCTTGGTCTCCGGCAGGAGGAGTGCCAGGGATGCCGAGATTAAGGACACGGCGCCGAAGAGTGCTGACGGCGCCCACTCCGAGTACACTCCCTGCAACATGTTATCATGATGTCGTAAGAATAGAGGATACAATAAGATAACAAGATCACAAGATAACACAAAAATTAAGGACGCTGCAGAAGGTTTATTGGCTTATGCAAGGCAGCACCTATTTATATCCATCTAAAGTGGATATATGGCTATGGCTGCCGTTTATAAGAACATCTCTTCGAAACATTCACCACTAAGAACAATTATGTAAACATACCCAGCAGTAATAAATATTCTCTCAGGGACCCAAAGTATAAACCGCTCACCAAGATATCGTTGATGAACGGGGAAGCGGTGCTGCCGAGGCGCGCGCAGAAGCTGGATTGGCCGACGGCCAGCGAGCGGTACTTGGTGGGGAAGAGCTCGGCTGTGTACATCCAGACTAGCTGGAACCCGGCGGTCACGGCCACTTTGCCGCATTGGGAGAAGATCACCATGGCCACCTCGGCTTCTGTCGGTACATCACGGCTTTAGTTCCACAGGCAGGGACACCTCCACAGCGTCTACAGCAAGAACTTGTCTAATCCTTCTAGTGGGGGAGGACAACCTACCAAGGGATGAACAATCTACCTAGATGGGACAACCTTCCTAAGGGGGAAGGGACAACCTACAAGAGGGGTCAGCCTACTCGGGAGTTATAATCAGTACTGATAACTGTCACTATGAGGGTACAATTAGTACTAATAACTGCCACTAGGGGAGGGGGTATTATCAGAACTAATAACCGTCACTATAGGGGGTTACTATAAGTACATTTAACTGCCATTAGGGGGATACAATTAGAATTATTAACTGCCACCAGGGGAGATACACTTTATGCTGCAATGTATGCCAAGAATAAGGTAGATATATACTATTTTCTAAATTATTTTATGAACCCATTCATGATATATCCAAAATGTGGATAAATTAAACAAAACACTAACATAGTTTTCTCAAGTAAACACACGCATGAGTCTAGACTTATTTTACACTGAGGAGGATCAACAGCACGTTTCGTCTCAGGAACTTAGACAAGTGCTTCAAGCTTGAAAACAGTGTGAAGAAGCATGAATACAAGAACACTTAATTTGATGTCAACAAACAGCACAGAAAATCCATAGCTTCGTGATTTCCCCGAGCACGCCACCTCTCTTGGTGACTTGGACGAGTATGCTACCCACCTCCACGATATGTCACCATGAGAATCATCACGGTGAAGATACAGACGGAGCAGAAGAAATAGAGCGCTGAAAGGGTCTTCTTCCTCCCTATATAGATGAGAGCTGGCCACAGCAGGAGGTAAGACGGTACTTCCAGCAGCCCTCCGAGGAAGATGTACAAGTAAGGGTCGGTGCTGTAGGAGAAACAGTCAAGAGAGCGGTTAGTTCCCTGCAGGCAGAGGCGAGGGGTAAAAAGATATCAGTCTAACTGTAAAGAGCTTTTGGACATACCAGCTGAGGAATCGGTTCATTGATCACCACTCTCGTTGACTAGGTCTCGTGTGTATAGACTTTTTGGTGAACTGCCATTTACCCCATCCTTTGAGTATTTTTGTAACCTAGCTATGTTAATCTGTTTTTATAATGTGAAGACAATATTTCCTCTCGTAATTTAATGTGTTCCTTACCCTGTGTTGCAGAAACAATAAGTGCCGAAGATTACACAGACATTCGTTTTTTCAACTTCACATATAATGAACAGGACCAGATGGCAGTATACAGTCAGGTTTTACAAGAGTGTTCGCTAATACGTGTACAAGAGAGAAGAGAGACATGTGGGAATGCGTGCCTGAGGTTATTGGCGTTAAGGGCGATGCCGTAGTAGACCATGGAGGCGGAGAACCAGCAAAAGAACACCACCAGCGTCATTCTTCGACACTCCGGAGTAAGAATTAAGATGACTAGCTTCTTCATTGTGACCAAAATAAGAGAAAGTAAGCCGGTTTTTGCAGTGCTCTCTGATTCCTCTTTCTGTTGGTCTTTCTGGAATTGTGAAATATTTGTTAAAAACATCATGTCCGTAAGTATATAATTAAACACGTAGCTATAACAACAGTTTTTTCGACAATTATACTCAAAAGTATGTGTCTCTAGAACAGACCTTTTGATTGACATTTTCCATGGCAGAGAGTAAGACTTCGTCAGAGGGCAGAGTCTTCTTGTTTACGGTCCCCATCCAGGTCAAAACCTTGAGGGCCTCCTGGTAGCGGCCCTGGTCTATAAGCCAGCGAGGTGACTCCGGCAACAGCCTGAAAACACAGTCATCTTCATGTAATTATCATATTTCACGGATTTCTGAGAGATTGGGAAAACGTGGAGAGAATTTTGGGTAGATGAAGAAAGCCTAACTTAATTAATCCTATTACCATAATATAATTGAATCTAACCAGACGACATGCAACATGCTACAGCAGTAATTGCAACAAACATATCTGACGATAAAACACTCAAAAGAAGTACATTGCAGTTCAGGAAGGTGACTGCTGAACACAGGCACCTTAGGAAGCGAAGGTATGATTGACAAATCGACTCACCAGAAGTATATAATGAGGTAGAAGCCCATGGCGCTGTAGGTGACCTGCAACAGCCTCCAGGGTCGTATAAAGTAGGCGATGCCAGGAGCCACCATATATCCCAGTGCCCACGGGACCACCACCAGCGTCCCGGACGCCGCCCGGTACTTGGAAGCGCAGGTCTCCATCACTGTTGAAGCGGGCGGGAAGGTCACCACCAGGAGGTACTGGAGTTTAGCTTACCACAGGGGATACTATACACAGCCTACCACAGGAGATACTATATACACAGCCTACCACAGGAGATCATATACACAGCCTACCGAAGACGAAGATACTGAGGTACTGGCCGGCCCCCACGGCAGCGACCAGGAACTTCAACGCGATGTAGAGTTCGATGCTGGGCGCCGCAGCTGCCAGCAGTCCTGCCGTCAGATACAAGACCACGGACACCAGGACCACAGGTCGACGTCCGATCCTGTCTCCCACCGGAGGACGCAAAATATACTTAGTGAGAAATTCTATATCACTATAACTGAAATGAAAGCTTAATTAGCGCAACATTATGGAAAATAAGTTTTGACAATGAGAGTGAATTTATGCCTTTGGAAGTGGCTAAAAACATTAAGGGTACATCTATATGCCTGGATAAGATGGCTAAAGAGTGCAAGTGAGTGATTTTTGCTTATGTTAAAATTTACACAAAAGATTCTGAAACAAAAAAAAAGACTTAAAATTGCATAAATTAGACCCAAACAAGAAATTATAAACTCTCCAACATTTACGTCTAAATGACTTATTTATTGAAAAGCAATATAGTATCCACAAAAGATCCGAAATGCTTTTGTTTATGTTACATGTAATAAAGTCTGTTAGAACTGATGATCAGATCTTTTATATATAGAGATGCACAAAAGCTTTCACTGCGTATGGCATAAGAAGTAATTGTGCCAATACCCATAATTTATTAGTCTGCACTGTGTATCACGTAAGCATTAGGGTCTAAAATATCCCCGACTAGAAAGCTTAGTTATGCTAGAAGTTTGTAAGCAACTTAGAAGACTTTTTTCTGAATTTACAGTTTAATTAAGTACATTGTGAATTTGTCACCACTCACAGTAAAAGTTATATTGAATCCTGCAGACACAACATTAGTAATTTGCAGGTCTACCAGCACTCACAATCAATTCAAAGTTATAAGAATGCTGAACGGCACTTAAAATTTTGGTGATGGTGAAAAGTGTGAAGACTTGGAGGGCGGTGACATTACTCACGCATCAACAAGGTAGCCGAAGATGATAAAGCCTGCCAGTTTACCGCCCTGCATCACCGCTTGTGTTGTGGAGTAGAGCACTCGGCGATCACACACCAGGTCCCACTGTATCACGCCCACACCATACCACCACGCCCACAGGATACCACCACGCCCACAGGACACCACCACGCCCACAGGATAATATCACATCCACGGGAAATATATCGCAATTAGAAAGCATATTATAATCTTGAATATAGAAAGCTGTTATATTAACAGACACACATTTCCACACATCGCAGACGTAGCCAACGATCTGTTGCATAAAGATTGCTTAACTAATTCACATTAAACACGGAGACAAATAAAGAGACGATGAAATTATGGGATATAGAAAAGGATAGAAACATTGTTGTTGATGTGAAGAGAACTTTGCTTAGCATTTTGGTTGTAGTAGTCCAACCGGTGTTCCTCTGGAGACATTATGTACTAGACAAGCCAACCCATTGTCTAACCCATTTAATGACCTGTATATTTATAACTAACATTGTGTAGGTGGTAGAGACGGAGGCAGAGCATAGCACTGTGAAGGGACACATTCTAAACATCTTGATAAGGCTCCGTTAGGTTCGGTCACATCATTGACAACAGAAAAGTATTCACACATTTTTGGAACAAATATTTGTATTTAAATGAAAAATAAAATCAGTAAGTCTTCTGGTTAACGTTATATGAATCATGACGAGGTATCCAACAAGAAGGCTTACCTCCGTGACGACGGTGGAGGCGTACTGGGAGTGGTTGAACTCCCTGACGGGGCAGAAGATGAGGGCGGAAGAGGAGTTGGCCCCGACCTGCCCCACGTCCTGCATGGTGGCCTCGTAGCCCAGCGCTGCGGCCGCCTTGTAGTCCAGGTCCCGCATCTGGCAACCCTCGCGCTTCCCTGTAGCGTTGCTGCACCGCAGGATGGTCGATCGTATCACTCACATAGCAACAAGAATTTATATTTTATGTGAAAATAATCTACTACTATTATATGTGTAGTGGGGACCAGCAGTCTCGTGTGAGCAGACTCTCTGGTGGTCAAAATGGATGTACGTTCCCCCTGTGGTGATGTTGGGTTGCACTGAGGGTGTTTATATAGATTGTGCACAGGCGATTGTTACGTTTAAGATAAGAACTGATAACTTGGTTTGAGTTGAGAGTTGTCTGTGATGGCGCTGCTGTGATAAATGTTGCAATTATTGCGTCCTCAGGATTGGTCGCTGACTGTCTTGATGAATGAACTATGGTTTGCAGTTTTCAGTTGCATATATGCCACCACGCATATATGCAACTATTGTTGCAGTTGCAACAACACAAAATCGCAAAGTTGTTGTGGTTATAACAGTTATTTGTGGCTCTCTTAGAGGTGTTTGTGGTAAAGTTGTTTGTGGTTATTAGAGTTGTTTACATGCTTCATTCTGAAGCATTGTTTGCTGTTGCGATTGAGTTGTGTTAGTACATCATTCAGCTATCTTGGAGGTTTGAGCTGGTGGACTTTGGAATGGTGGTGAGCGCAGGTTGTATATGCACCAGATAGTTGGGTAATTAGGAGGCTTGTCTGGCAATGTCGGTCATTTACTCTAAATGTATAAACATTTACATATCAAATCTCTTGAGTTTGAGTAATTATAAGTATTATTATTATTAACAAATTGCCACACATGTTATAAAAATTAGTAGTAGGCATCCATCAGTCTCAGGAGACTATGGAGTTGCGCTCTGATGTCGGCCTGGTCTGGAGTGGCCTCACCTGAAGGGGATGGCAAGTTCGAGGATCTGGTTTTGGGTCCAGTTGGCCTCCACCAGGGGCGCCACGTGGCACCAGTGGTCCGGCGTCGCCCCTAGGAACTGGTACGACAGAGTTTGCAGCGGTGAGACGAAGGCAACTGCAAGAGTAACGGGTGGTTAAAGAAGGCTCCTTCACGAAGGGGGTGAGATTTTGCACACACACACACACGAAGAGCCAGAGCCCACCCCTCCGCAAGCACAATTAGGTGAGTACATACATACACACACACACACACACACACACACACACACACACACACACACACACACACACACACACACACACACACACACACACACACACACACACACACACACATACCTGAACCAAATCCACATATCTAAACACCTGCACTAGTCTACAAACTCACACTAGCAGTCATATATATCTTCAAACGATCACTAATTCAAACACTATTTCACATCGCCATTCAAAAACCCACAAAACCAGTCACAAGCACACAAAAGCCAGATGCAAATCCATAAAGTCATGTAATCACAAAATCAAATGCTAATCCACAAACCCAGGTATTAATCCACAGAGCAAAAACACTAATTTAAACGCCAGATAATGATCCACAAAGCGAGGCACTAACCCATAAACCCTGGCACTAACCCCCAGATAATAACCCACAAAGCCTGGCACTAACCCCCAAATAATAACCCACAAAGCCTGGCACTAAACCCCCAGATAATAACCCACAAAGCCTGGCACTAAACCCCCAGATAATAACCCACAAAGCCTGGCACTAAACCCCCAGATAATAACCCACAAAGCCTGGCACTAAACCCCAGATAATAACCCACAAAGCCTGGCACTAACCCCCAGATAATAACCCACAAAGCCTGGAACTAACCCCCAGATAATAACCCACAAAGCCTGGCACTAAACCCCCAGATAATAACCCACGTACCAAGCCAGCTACTAACCGGCAGAACACATGATGAAGATAAGGACATTCCACCTGCCGCTTTCCCCCACCACCTGAAGCAGGTGCTCGAAGGTGGTCACCCAGCTGAGGTCATCCACCCCGTAGGAGGAGGTCACCTTATTCTTCACCTCCTTTCCTTTGGTCCCTTCTTCCATCTCCGTGGCGTCCGTCTTCGTTTTATCGAAGTCTCCCTCTCCGTTTTCTGTCGTCATTGTGTTGTGCTGTAAGGGGGACAATTATATATAGTTAAGTACACCTTGGAAGGTGAAGACACGACGTTTCGATCCGTCTTGGACCATTTTCAAGCCATTGTCAAGTCATGTTATTCGTTAGTTAAGCAATGAATACATCGATATGTTATTTTATGTTTACATATTTACGTGTTTCAATATGTTTCATACATTCACCAATTGCCCCAAAGTGATCGCTGTGACTGAGGGCCTTTGTAAACCTTTGTGTGATCTTTTGGGAGATTTTGTAAGACTTTGTGAGTTTGTATGAACCTTTGTAAACCTTTGTGAGCCTTTGTAAACCTTTGTGAGACTTTTTTCAGCCTTTTTGAGCCTGTGTGAACATTTGTGAGTCTTTGTTGTAAACTTTTGTAAATATTTGTGAGCCTTTGTGAAACGTTTTTGAGCCTTTGTGAACTCTGTGAGTCTTTGTGAACATTTGTTAGCATTTTTTGACCCTTTATGAACCAATTGTGAGCATTTGTGAACCTTTGTGAGCATTTGTGAACTTTTGTGAGCATTTGTGAACCTTTGTGAGCATTTGTGAACCTTTGTGAGCATTTGTGTCAACCTTTGTGAACTTTTGTGAGCCTTTGTATGAATCTTTGTGAGCATTTGTGAACTTTTGTGAACATTTATGAACCTTTGTGCGCATTTGTGAACTTTTGTGAGTATTTGTGTGAACCTTTGTGAGCATTTGTGAATCTTTGTGAACATTCGTGAGCATTTGTGAACCTTTGTGAACTTTTGTGAGTATTTGTGTGAACCTTTCTGAACATTTGTGAACTTCCGTGAGCATTTGTGAACCTTTGTGAGCATTTGTGAACTTTTGTGAGTATTTGTGTGAACCTTTGTGAGCATTTGTGAATCTTTGTGGGCATTTGTGAACATTCGTGAGCATTTGTGAACCTTTGTGAACTTTTGTGAGTATTTGTGCGAACCTTTCTGAGCATTTGTGAACGTTTGTGAGTATTTCTGAAAATTCGTGAGCATTTGTGAACTTTCGTGAGCATTTGTGAACCTTTGTGAGCCGGTGTACGTCGGTATATGTACTATGGTCCTCATGGTTACTATAGACAGGAGTATAGGCTGGTATTTTTGTGTATATCATAAGAGAAAAATGTTTACTGTCTCGCAGTAAATACTGGTCGAGTAATTACTAGTAGTTTGGCTCCCATCGTTGTCGTTCTTGGGGCGAGCGTCTTGGTCCCGTAATATTTTCAATGTTTGTGATGTATCTATACATATATGTATGAATACGTTCTACTGAAAAGGGTGAATCCTTTGTGTGCATTTATACCTCAATAAACTTTTTTGAATTTGAATTTTGAATTTGAACGCCTTGTTTTGTTCCCGTTTTCTCTGGCAGAGAAAGGAAAACAAAAGATGTCAGTTGGTTTCCGTTGGTCGTGGGAGGAGGGTCAGCCATTTGTGTTGTCAGCCGTCAGCTGGGGTGTGTGGCTGATGAGTCTAGCAGTGTCAGCCAACATCATCATCTCTGGCTGACGTGTGGCGGGTGATGAGTAAGTTGTGAGAATATGCTTGGTGTAGGTGGGGGGGTCTTTGTGGTTTGTTAAGAGTAATGTTGGTTGGCCCGGAGCTGACAGGTTGTTGGCCCCTGATGACACCCCCCCCACCCTTCCCTGCCCTATGCTACCCTCCTCTATGCCCCACGACACCCCCCTTTTTCTGCCCAGGCCTCCACCCCTCCCCCCTTGTCTGCCCACTCAGCCACCCCCCCTTTGTCTGCCCACTCAGCCACCCCCCCCCTTTGTCTGCCCACTCAGCCATCCCCCTTTGTCTGCCCACTCAGCCACCCCCCCTTTGTCTGCCTACTCAGCCACCCCCCCCTTTGTCTGCCTACTCAGCCACCCCCCTTTGTCTGCCCACTCAGCCACCCCCCCCCCCTTTGTCTGCCCACTCAGCCCCCCCTTTGTCTGCCCACTCAGCCACCCCCCCCTTTGTCTGCCCACGCCGCCACCCCCCCCCCCTCCCCCTTGTCTGCCAACGCCGCCACCCCCCCCTCCCCCTTGTCTTCCCACGCCGCCACCACCCCTCCCCCTTGTCTGCCCATGCAGCCACCCCCCCCCCTTCTCTGTCCACGCCGCCACCCCCCTCCCCCCTTCTCTGCCCACCCCACGTTGCATGCAACGTCGCAATGATACGGAGAGAGAGACTATGAGTTCTTGAAGAGTGACTTGCATTCATGTCTCCGTGCACCTTGATAGCCAAGCAGCAGTACCAGGCGGGTGAGCATGTCGGTCGCACTATGGGGAAAACCCGTTGCAATGTCTTCCATCTTGGTACAGTAATTGTGGCGTCTCAGCCCTCTGTGTTTACACTTTCTCGTGATGGCGACCAACTTGGTGTACTGTGTCAACTTGCTTTCACTCTAAGGTGTGTTTAATAGTAGATATGAGAGAAAAAATGGGTGTGAAATCCTGTATATTATACAAATTAGGGTTAGAAAGGCGGGGGTAAAAAAACTAAGCTCAATTCTGCAGGCACAAATATATATAAATACTTGATGCATTCCTAGTCACCCAAAATGGTTCTGCACGTTTCATAAAGGGTCAGATGCTCTTCTAGAGCCCCTCACACCTGCTGGGTATTACACTATAATCGTCTGTTACGTCATGCCCGTGCCACCTCTTGGGTGGCTTAATCTTTATCAATCATCCATCAATCATCATCGTCTTAACTAGTGAATGTGAGTATGGTTCAAAGGCTTCAAAACAACACTTAGGAAGAGTTTCGCTAGTCTTCCCGGTTTGGTTGCAATTCGTCCTAATAGAACATCGCATTTTGACATATACTGCAGACGATGAGTCACAATAACGTGGCTGAAATATGTTGACCAGACCACACACTAGAAAGTGAAGGGACGACGACGTTTCGGTCCGTCCTGGACCATTCACAATCGACTCTAGAATGGTCCAGGACGGACCGAAACGTTGACGCATACTCTTCCTAAAGTAAAAAAAATCGACGTACTAGAAAATGGTTCGCGAAATTGATTTATTGTCCCGTTGTGGGTCCTCTGGTAGGTTAGGATAAGGGGCACTGTAGTACGACAGTTTCTAGACGTTGGGAAAGCTTAGGAGGACGGGCTGGATCATCCGGTGGTGGGGCAAACCTGGCCCCGCGGGCAGAGACCTTCCCACCGAGGCGCCACCGCCATCCTCTCCTACAAAGAACGTCGCTTTTCGCTCGTAGGCGTCACATAAGGCCAAAAATTGTCGTACTAGAAAATGAAAGCGGCTGGCGAAGGTGGCGTACTGTGCCGTTTTCTGTTTTGGGTCCTCTGGTAGGTTAGGAGAGACCACTTTAAATTGACAGGTTTCTTGACGTTGGGAACCTTAGGAGGGCGGGCTGCGTGTCGCACCTCACCAGCGGAGGAATACATCGTCATTATTGAATGAAAATTAGTTTTGACCAATGTTCGTTACCTTTCAATACAGTTCGTTACCTTCCAATACTGTTCGTTACCTTCCAATACTGTTCGTTACCTTTCAATACAGTTCGTTACCTTCCAATACTGTTCGTTACCTTCCAATACTGTTCGTTACCTTCCAATACTGTTCGTTACCTTCCAATACTGTTCGTTACCTTCCATTACCCACCAATTCTTCAAAACTGATCGTACCTATAGCTACTATTAATGGAATGTACACAACATGGACTGTTGAACCCGGAAGAAAGTCCCCCGTTTTGTACTATTTTGTAGTCAGACAAGGCAACACCAAAAACCTTTCTCTTAGTCCTCGTAAAGTACTTGTGTGTACTATCATTGGCCTACAAGTGCCTATATTAGGACTGCATATTTAGGCCTTAAACGGGTTAGGTTAGGGTCAGGTCATAGTGCTTCGGCTGTGTCTAATCATCAATTAACGATTGATCTGTTCACAAGTTTAGTGTCGCTGGGCAAAATATTTCAGGTGATCAGGTAGCGTGTAGATTTGTGATCTCTCGTATAGATCGTGTCGTGTCAGGTGTCTTGAAAACACTTGCCATCTTACGTGTATCTTGAGGTCGTTTACGGAGGGGGCTCAAGGCGCTTCGTGTCCGGAGTCTATATGAGTAATTTGCGGTGTTGTTACTCTATAATGTACTGAGAGGGAGACCCAGCTGGGCCCGGGTCTGTCTGTCTGTGTCTGTCTGTCTGTCTGTCTGTCTGTCTGTCTGTCTGTCTGTCTGTCTCTCTCTCTCTCTCTCTCTCTCTCTCTCTCTCTCTCTCTCTCTCTCTCTCTCTCTCTCTCTCTCTCTCTCTCTCTCTCTCTTTCCCCCCCTCTTTTTTTTTCCAGCATCCCCCCCCTGTCTTTCCCTCTCCAACTTTCTCCTTCAAGGTCCCCCTCTCATTCACTCTCTAGCCTTTCTACCATCTTCTCACACCCCTCCCCCTCTATACCCCCATCTAATCCCTACTTTGTCAATCATCTCTTCCCCCGCCTCCTCTCTTCCCCCTCTTTACACGTCTCCTTTTCACTCTCCGGAAAACACATCTCCTATTTCAGACTCCATGAAAATCGCTGATATTTCTTAAACGGTGATCTCCGACTGGCCTATGGCACTCGCATGCCCCCAAATATCATCTTGCAAAGTTGAGTGAGGCTAACCCTAAGCGTCGGGCATCCTACTTTAGCCAGATGCCCCGTATGTGTGCCATTATTGACCTGCAGTTTCCTCAATTCTTACGTTCATAAGCCTATCATTTCCAAGGTTTAGAACATTACATTTGACAATATTAAATTGCATCTGTCAAACTTGTGTCAATTTTAAGCCTCTACATATCGTCCTGTGGTCAACTTGATCCCGTGACGGAATTTGTTGCCTTGTGCAGTTGTCCAATTCGTTGTTGATGACAGTCAGCTGGTGCGTATTGTGATGACAGTCAGCTGGTGCATATTGTGATGGCAGCTCACTCGTGCGTATTGTGATGGCAGCTCACTCGTGCGTATTGTGATGGCAGCTCACTCGTGCGTATTGTGATGGCAGCTCACTCGTGCGTATTGTGATGGCAGCTCACTCGTGCGTATTGTGATGGCAGCTCACTCGTGCGTATTGTGATGGCAGCTCACTCGTGCATATTGTGATGGCAGCTCACTCGTGCGTATTGTGATGGCAGCTCACTCGTGCATATTGTGATGGCAGCTCACTCGTGCGTATTGTGATGGCAGCTCACTCGTGCATATTGTGATGGCAGCTCACTCGTGCGTATTGTGATGGCAGCTCACTCGTGCATATTGTGATGGCAGCTCACTCGTGCGTATTGTGATGGCAGCTCACTCGTGCGTATTGTGATGGCAGCTCACTCGTGCGTATTGTGATGGCAGCTCACTCGTGCGTATTGTGATGGCAGCTCACTCGTGCGTATTGTGATGGCAGCTCACTCGTGCATATTGTGATGGCAGCTCACTCGTGCGTATTGTGATGGCAGCTCACTCGTGCGTATTGTGATGGCAGCTCACTCGTGCATATTGTGATGGCAGCTCACTCGTGCGTATTGTGATGGCAGCTCACTCGTGCGTATTGTGATGGCAGCTCACTCGTGCGTATTGTGATGGCAGCTCACTCGTGCGTATTGTGATGGCAGCTCACTCGTGCATATTGTGATGGCAGCTCACTCGTGCATATTGTGATGGCAGCTCACTCGTGCGTAATGATGACTTCCTGGTGTAATGGGAAGCCCACTGCAACCATCCTCAGGTTCTCAAGCATGACAGACGAGCTAGTCAAGGACACAGGACACAGCTAGTCAAGGACACAGGACACAGCTAGTCAAGGACACAGGACACAGCTAATCAAGGACACAGGCCACAGCTAGTCAAGAACACAGGACACAGACGAGCTAGCCAGACAGGCCACAGACGAGCTAGTCAAGAACACAGGACACAGACGAGCTAGCCAGACAGGCCACAGACGAGCTAGTCAAGAACACAGGACACAGACGAGCTAGCCAGACAGGCCACAGACGAGCTAGTCAAGAACACAGGACACAGACGAGCTAGCCAGACAGGCCACAGACGAGCTAGTCAAGAACACAGGACACAGACGAGCTAGCCAAGGACAGCCAGGGCGAAAGAGTTGACCACCACCCAGTCGACCGATAAACAGAACAAGTACAGTTGTGTCTGGTCAGGGTACCTGGAGTGGGTACTGGGTCGCCTTGAAAGAGAACATCGCCCTGCCTATGAGAGCCCTGGAGGACGACCTTATGCCAACACATTGCCTCTACTCTCTCTCTCCTACGGATAAACAGTGTTGCATAGTTCAATGTGTTGCAATGTTGACCAAACCACACACTAGAAAGTGAAGGGACGACGACGTTTCGCACAATCGACTTGTGAATGGTCCAGGATGGACCGAAACGTCGTTTCGACGACGTTTCCAACCCTAGGCCGAATATACGCTGCCTCCTGTTTTTTTTTTAGGTTCAGCTACTGGGAACAAAAAGCTCCAAGTAGCACGGGCTATGGTGAGCCCGTAGTATTTGACCAAATATAGTATATATATGTACTATACTAGGCCTAGGCATAATTAAATTTGGTATTAAACTATTTTTCCCAGCCTATGAAATGAAAAGTACAAAATGTGACCCTTTGGTGGTCCATCACTATACATATTGATGATTTCGACCGGAAAGTACTATATATCACTGCCCGAAACGCTATCATGATTTTTATTATATATATACAAGAGTTCTCACATTCTTGTACAGCCACCAGCACGCGTAACATTTCGGGCAGGTTCCTAATATTAATATTTCCCGGAATACGACCCGCCAAATCGTTTAACAACCAGGTACCCATTCACTGCTGGGTGAACAGAGGCTATAGTTAAGGACTGACTCCCAGTCAATCCTCCCCGGCCAGGATACGAACCCAGGCAAAAACGCTCGCGAAACCCCAGGCGAGTGTCTCACCACTAGGCTACGGGGTCTAGTAAATGTTTCTAACCGACCAGACGGTACACGGCGCTCATGTGTTTCATGCTTTAAATGGGTTTAGTTTTCATTAAGTTTACTTTTGAATACCGTGATTCTCCCCGGCTTGGCGCCGCCTTCTATCGTGAGTTTCAATATGGGCCTTTACGCGGGGCTTAGAATATAGCCAAAACGCAAGAAATCTAGCGCCATATCAAGTCTTGTTCATCCTTATCCAACTTATAAGTCTTGAAAGTCAGCAGTTTCATTTAATTGAAGTGTTGGTAGTCATTTAATTGACTACCTTGAAATGTTGACGTGATTGAAGTAATTATTACGTGATAGTCACCTTGAGGAACACCACTGCTGTAATACACAGAGAGACAAGGAGTGTAATGTATCTTGAGTGTAGATACACACACCCGCCACCTCGTGAGGCACTGGTAACCAATAAATGTATACAGGTCATAGAATGATCAATCCTCTACCTTATACCTGTCTGTGACTTTCCCTGAGGAGAAGCTATCGTACTGCTTTTCCTCCTTGGCGCTCTAGATTATTAAACTGCAGCCTCCAGTTTACACCAACAGCATAGTGGGGATTTGTAGGATACATTCAAGTGATACGTACGTTATGTATCATGTATGAGGATAGTTCATACATTTTTGTTTCTATGCATACGTCTGGCAGCCTAGTCAAGTTGCTGGAATGTTGTTCAGGAATAATTTTTGTTTGTTGTCGTTTATAGAGAAGTCTTGACTATGGGCAGTAGTACTTCTACGCCATTGACTTTAAAATATTTGGTAGTCTATATATCAAGAAAATTTACTTTGTTGCTCTGTTATAATCTTGCCGTTCCATCATGTAATCATTTTATTTAAATTTCTCTGCTTCATTTTAGTGTATATTTTTATTTATTTATTTCTCTACTTAATTTTTTTTGTTTTTGGTCTCATTAAGTCTTTAAGTTTCCCCACATTATGGCCGGAAACGCTGTGTATTAGTGGGTTTACGCGACATGCTTATCTACGCATCATTCCAACAATGTTTATAGCCTATGTACATATCTACATAAAGAAATCCGGTAAATTTGTGTAATTTTGCCTAAATAAAATGTTGGATTAATAATTATCGGAATTGATAGTTAAAAAATTAAGACAAAAGCAAAACAGCCAATTTCAACATTATAAATTTTTGCTAATATATACATTTTTTTCTATTACATTCCTGGTCGTCCGAGGAGCTGCCGGAGGGGCCGTGGAGAGGCCCTCAGAGGGAATACACAGTCCTTCCACGCAGGATCCAAGTAAGTTCAATAGAACTTCTGGTTGCAATTCTTTTTACCATGTCGTAGCTCAGTCGATTAAGGCAGGGTTTGGGATGGTCTAGGACGTAGGTTCGAACCCTCGTCACGGCCCTTGTGGATTTGTCCAGTCCTTGCTGTTGTCACAATGGGGGGGCTGCTTCCACGTCACTCTTGGTGTAAATGGCCAATCCAGTTGTCAGCTGAAGTGGAACCCGTCGCCACTTCCAACTGATTAATGTGAATAATAAAGATTAAGCCACCCAAGAGGTGGTAACGAGCCTGTAAGTCTAGATTGTTGATCACCTTGACCTTGAATAGTATGATAACAATGCCGCTGCTGCTGTTGTGTGCTACAGTGGGAGGTGTAAACATTGCCTTAATGTCTTTGTAGCGTCTTTGATAATTACTGCGTTCTCATGTGGGTCGGCAGACTGTACAGCCTCGCCGCATGCTGTGATTAATTTTTTTTTCTGGAACAGGCATACTGTATGTATGTGTGTATATGTATACACACACACACGTTAGGCTCCTATCGCGGTCATCTAAGTCGAGCTACTAACTCTTCCCAACATGCAACCCCACAAGAAGTTAATTTAACTCCTTGTTTACGTATATTTACTGCTAGGCGTGCAGAGGCATTGTGGTAGGAAACCAAACCAACTACATGTATTTAATAGGTGGAAAAAACCCACTACCTGTTTTCGATCCTTCGATCCTTAGACATCTTACAAAAAGTTGTATGGATAAGTCTTTATCAATTTGTTCAATATTCTAAAGGTTTCGCAGAGATCCGTCCTGCCATGTTTGGTTTGTTGTGTTTTAAGTCTGTGGCCCTCAACTGTTCCTGGTATGAGAGTTGACTTAGTTCTGGGAAGTATGTTAGATCTCTGAACTTTTTCCAAAGCAGGTGTGTGTATCATTTTAAACAATATCTACAAGATTTATTTAAAAAATGGTACAGTAGTTTAATAGTTATTACATAAAAAGCATATGTAATGAAGTTAAAAAGTACGCAGTGTGTTTCGGACCTAAATAATGCGATTAAATTATTGAGAAAATGATATAACCGCTTAATAGTAACCACAAATAAAATTAGCATATATGAATTGTTACAGAAATAAGGAAATTATATGCAATATTCAGGTGGTTATTATAACTCCCCCCCCCCTCCAGAAAGTACATGGTACCCCTGATGTGGTGGTGCTGGTCTGGCTCTTGTCCGCCACTACGTAGCTTAATTTTAATGTCTGCCATGATGATGATGACCGACACCCCCCCCCCCCCCCCACACACACACACACTCCAGCCTGGAGTCCATACCTAGTTAAACACAAGACGAAGTTAGAGAAGATTCAGAGGTATGCCACCAGACTGGTCCCGGAACTGAGAGGAATGAGTTACGAGGAAAGGCTAAGGGAGCTGAACCTCACAACCCTGGAAAACAGAAGAGTAAGGGGAGACATGATAACCACCTACAAAATTCTCAGGGGAATTGACAGGGGTGGACAAAGACAAACTCTTTAGCGCGGGTGGAACATGAACAAGGGGACACAGGTGGAAACTTAGTAACCAGATGAGCCACAGAGACGTTAGAATGAATTTTTTCAGTGTCAGGGTAGTTAACAAGTGGAATGCATTAAGTAGTGTTGTGGTGGAGGTTGACTCCATACACAGTTTCAAATATAGATATGATAGAGCCCAGTAGGCTCAGGAATCTGTACACCAGTTGATTGACAGTTGAGAGGCGGGACCAAAGAGCCAGAGCTCAACCCCCACAAACACAATTAGGTGAGTGTACACACACACGAATGCATTAGGCAATGATGTGGTGGAGGCTGACTCCATACACTGTTTCAAATGTAGATATGATAGAGCCCAGTAGGCTGAGGAATCTGTACGGTACTTCAGTTGATTGACGAGACCAGAGAGCAAAGTCTCAATCCCCGCAAGCACAACTAGGTGAGTACACACACACACATAGTGGAGTAAGTGGTAGGGTGCTCAAGCAGACAAATTGTTGTTGCCAAAGGGAGCACAAACCAAGGAAAATGACATTGTTGGTCCATTATTAGTGTTTATTTGAATATAAATTTACTTGAGGGCCAGTAAGTTTTAGTAACCTCGACGGAGACAAGAAACTGGCTGCTTGTGAAAGATCCCCCCCCCCTCCCATTTGTCCTGATGATTTTTTCTAGCTGGATTTTGAAATTCAGCAGAATTTTGGCATTTATGGCTTTGGCAGGTAGGTAGTTCCATGGATCTATAACCGGTGGGTGAAATACATCTCCTATTTTCAGTCCTACAATGTGGCTTCTTGAGCTGGAAATCGTTGCTCCTTGTTTGTGTTGCATCTGACATTTTGAAAGTTGTCTGAATAAACATCCTGCAAATTGTTCAGTATTTTGAACGTTTCGATAAGATCAGCTGCATTATGTCTGGTTTGCAGTGTTAGACCTGTGGCCCTCACCCTTTCCTGATATGAGAGTTGACTTAGTTCTGGAATTATTTTCATTGCCTGGTGTTCAACTTTCCCATAATTTGTTCTCTTCACCTTCAAACATTTGTTTGGATAATGGGATGTCGTCTAAGCATTCTAATATGACCACTGATGGCAATTTTTCAGTGTGTATTGCCTTTATAACAGTCTCTTCTTTTATGGGTCCTGCCGAATTGTTTGTTTTGGTTTTACTAGTTCCACAACATTGTCGAAAAATCCAATTTACTGGTCCGTTTAATCTTAATACTAGAATTTGGCTATATGTGATAAATTACACAGTTGTACTTTTGTGAAGTGAAGCTGGCTGTCCCTTATTCACAGTGAGTGTGCATGGGGTTCCAGTACAAGTACTTAAAATCCTTTGACCTTGCTATGTCTTAAGCCATATTGCTCGCTCCACTTGTTCTATGTTGGCAAACAAAAACGTGATCATCACTTAAGAATGGCCCAACAGCTGTTGTCACATCCAGCTTAGATTCCTTTTGACCTCATAAGTTCAAATTCTGTCAAGGTTGCTTGGTATATTACCACCTCTCTTAGCACAGGGACTTCTTATTCTATTTTGAAGTCCTGGAATCTCTTGTTCTTTGCACACCCCCTTGTCATTCTGTGTATCCATGCTTCCCTTTTCTTGTACACAAAAAATTTATTAATAATGTGGTGTATATGTTATATTTATAGAATGTACTACTGTGTGAAAGGTTCATTTAGTTGATACTTGAATGCATTAAATAAAAAAACTTGATAGTTGTTCAAATTTAATTTCAATATAGTCTCTACAGGTACTGTTTGGCCATGGCACGCAGAAACCTGTGCTTGCGGACCTTCGCTGCTTCCCTCTGGATTTCATCGTTGTTGTTGGAGTTCACTTCTAGAAGGCCCATCATTTTCAACTGAAAATAATTAAAGGATATAGAATCCATTTATACATAATAAATGGTTCGTTTAGCCCTTGGCTTAAGTCTAGTAATATTTTGATTCAATCAGGGGAGAATGTGCCTTAAGATACTTTGTCAAAGAAAGTTATAGCAATTTATGAGCAAAACCCAATTTGTATAAGATTTAAATTCTTGCTGGCAATTATTACAAAATGTGAGAAACTTGTTCATAAATATAAGTACAGTAGATGAGTTTTGAAGTTCGGTATGTGGCTCCAAAGAGCTCGGTAAAGTATTGAGACTTCTTAAGGAGGGGGAGGGAGGGGGGAGGGGGGAGAGGAGGGAGGGGGGGAGGAGGAGGGAGGGGGGAGAGGAGGAGGAGGGAGGGGGGGTGGAGGAGGAGGGAGGGGGGGGGAGGAGGAGGGAGGGGAGGAGGGAGGGGGGAGGGGGGGGAGGAGGGGGGAGGGGAGGAGGGAGGGGGAGGAGGAGGGAGGGAGGGGGGGGGAGGAGGGGAGGAGGGAGGGGGGGGGGGGGGGGGGGAGGAGGAGGGGGAGGGAGAGGGGGGGGGAAGAGGAGGGAGGGGGAGGGGGGGGGGGAAGAGGAGGGAGGGAGGGGGGGGGGGGGGAAGAGGAGGGAGGGAGGGAGGGGGGGGGGGGGGAAGAGGAGGAGGGAGGGAGGGAGGGGTGGGGGGGGGAGAGGGGGGGAGGGAGGGGGGGGGGGGGAAGAGGAGGGAGGGAGGGAGGGGGAGGGAGGGAAGAGGAGGGAGGGAGGGGGGGGGAGGGAAGAGGAGGGAGGGAGGGGGGGGGGGAGGGAAGAGGAGGGAGGGAGGGGGGGGGGGAGGGAAGAGGAGGGAGGGGGGGGGGAAGGGGAAGAGGAGGGAGGGAGGGGGGGGGGGGAAGAGGAGGGAGGGAGGGAGGGGGGGGGGAAGAGGAGGGAGGGAGGGGGGGGGGGAAGAGGAGGGAGGGAGGGGGGGGGGAAGAGGAGGGAGGGAGGGGGGGGGGGGAAAAGAGGAGGGAGGGAGGGGGGGGGGGGGGAAGAGGAGGGAGGGAGGGGGGGGGGAAAGAGGAGGGAGGGAGGGGGGGGGGGGGGAAAGAGGAGGGGAGGGAGGGGGGGGGGAAAGAGGAGGGAGGGAGGGGGGGGGGAGGAAAGGGGGGGGGAGGGGGGGGGGAGGGAGGGAGGAGGGGGGGGGGGGGGGGGAAAGAGGAGGGAGGGAGGGGGGGGGGGAAAGAGGAGGGAGGGAGGGGGGGGGGAAGAGGAGGGAGGGAGGGGGGGGGGGTGAGGGGAGGGAGAGGAGGGGGGGGGAGGAGAGGGGGAGGGAGGGAGGGGGGGGAAAGAGGAAGGGAGGGAGGGGGGAGGGGAGAGGAGGGAGGGGGGGGGAGGAGGGAGGGGGGGGGGAGGGAGGAGGGAAGGGAGGGAAGGAGAGGGAGGGAGGAGGGGGAGTCTCCTCCTGTCTCTCCCTCCCCCCCCCTCTCCTCCTCCCCTCTCCCCCCCCCCCCCCCTCCCTCCCCCCCTCCCTCCCCCCCTCTCCTCTCCCTCCCCCTCCCTCCTCCTCCTCCTCCCTCTCCCCCCCTCTCCTCCCTCCCCCTCCTCTCCTCCTCCCTCTCCCCCCTCTCCTCCTCCCTCTCCCCCCTCTCCTCCTCCTCCCTTCCCCTCTCCTCCCTCCCCCCCTCTCCTCCTCCCTCCCTTCCCCTCTCCTCCTCCCTCCCTTCCCCTCTCCTCCCCCCCTGCTCCTCCCTCTCCCCCCCCTGCTCCTCCCTCCCCGCCCCCTTCATCTGCCTCACAGCAGGGGGAGGAGGGAGTGGAAACAGGAGAGGAGGGAGAGGAAACAGGAGGGGGAGGGGGGGGGAGGGAGAGGATTAGAGGAGGAAGGAGAGGAGTAGGAGGAGGAAGGAGAGGAGTAGGAGGAGGAAAGGGGGGGGGGGGGGGAAGAGAGAAGGAGAATCTTACGGCTTTATCCCTGCGTTGTATTTCTCCTCGCTTCTGGTGCATGTTGATGATGAACTCGATGAGTGAAACATCCCATAAGCAGCAGTAGTAGGCATCCATGGCATCGACGGAGTTCCTCTCTTGCAAACAACGCAGTGCAGTGCTGTAGTCAATGCTCTCCAAGAACTGGCACAAGATGGCTGCCTGCAGAAAACAAAAAACATCCTAAATGTGCATCAACAGCTTTAAATTTGCAAATGTTAAATAAGGTTAAACACAGATACCTGCATGTATAAACAAATGTACATGAATGAAAAATACAAAAAATACCATAATAAGCAACACATGCCCAGTTTATATCATCAATAAAATTTAAGTTAAAAAAACAAAAAAAATTATCAATTGTACTGTACAATCATGTTAATGACTTACCTGTGTGTAACAGTTCAGATTCATACAACATCGAATCATTCTTCTGATGATGCTGTCTGTCAATACTGACTGATCCCCTCCATTGTCATTCCTAAGGAAATCTGTGGCAACAAACACAGCCGTCAAATACCCGGCCAGGGCACTGTGGTACTGGTCACTCATGTACGAGAGGTCGGCCCGTGATAAATGCCACGAGGTGCACAGAGCTGCACTTGTCTGTTTGAGAGAGTTCAGGGAACATTTTAGAGTAGCAATAATACCTTATTGTAGTTAATAAGTGTATTTATAAAGCTTTACCGAATGATTTTAAAGAGCAGCTTCTTTATTACCAATATTTGTCTCAATGCTTTCTCCTTTTGTTACTTTCTCTAGCACAATCCTTTATTCTAGGTCTTAAATGTATTTCTATTGTATATATTGAACATTAACTAGTTTGTTTTTTAAACAAAAAACATATGCAACTTACATGTGTTGCTGTTGGATACAATCTGGTTGCATGATCTACTACCCACACCAGTGTCTCTCTCACCGTCTCCTTTGGAAGAGTTCTGAAAACAATACTTATGAAGAAAACTTCATTATCAGTAGATGATGGCATAATTAGGAACACAAAGGATTAATATGAACTTTAAATGTCTTCAAAGTTGACTACCACATTTTAAAATATTATCAGTACTGTATGTTAAGATATTTAAAATGAACTATACCCCAACTTCACTCTAATTAACATCCAAGTGGAAAAATAAAATGCAAATTTGAAAAACTTATCACATGAATGTGCTGGGTGATCTGATAAATGTATTAGATTTTTCAACAAAGATAAAGTGATCATTTTCTTCAGAGCAAACCCCCTCATCCACCTACCCCATCAACAGGTTTCAACCAGTGCCATAGTTCTTGCACGAAAGGCTAGAGCTGACTTTTTGCTTCACCATAACAAGCAATTTTTAAAATGTTCTTATTGCATTGTTGAGGAGGGTCAACAATGGAGAGAATAGCTCTAGCTACCTCTATCTAGCTGCTGCTAAATTGCCAGGCTGCACTCCAATCACCAATATAGGGTTATGGAAGTAGGCAGCCCAAGCTGTGAACATGACATTTACCTCCTTCACATCCAGCCCTGCAGAGACTAATCCAGTTTATTTCCCCTGGTTTGAGGCTGATACCTTGCCTTTGCCTTTCAGAACTTTATCTCTGCCCTATTATCTCTGACCTAGGCCGCGTTGAGAGCTCTTGGGTTGTGTCTATTCTGAGACCTCGCACCAAGTTTCCATCATGAAATCACAAAGACGTTCTCTCTCTACAAAGACATTTTACACAAGTTTAGACACATCAAGAGCTTGACTACTTGTTAAGGCCAGCTGGGGCCAGACTTGTCTGCTGATAGCTAGCATCAGCAGCCCGCACACCCACATAACCATAGAAGCCAGATGACTTGGCACTTCATGCAGGAACTTGTCCAACTCTCTTAAAAACATCCACTTTTGTTTTTGAAACATTTCTTATATTTGGTGGAAGGATGTTGAAGATGTGACCCTCTAATTTTCATAGTGTTATCTAACTGTACTTTTAGCAGATCTTCATGATCTGTTCTCGGAAATAAGGCTCGGTTATTTAACAAAATCAAACTTTGGTGACCAAATACAAATGCAGTTCAATAAGAATATGGCCTCATTTCCAACAAGTACAGATTAACAACTAAAATATTGGTGGAACCTACAGAATACTTACACATCAGTAGATGGCCACATAGCAAGGTGATCAATGTGTACTTCATTACTAGGTTCTTGGTTCAGAAGATTGAGAACATGACCAAGAAGAGAGATGATGATGGAGAGGCAGCTTGGTTCTCGAATATTCTCGAGAAAGTCCAGAAATGCAGATCGGCTCATAATGACTGTTGAGAGAAGTTTTTGGTTTGTAAATCCAGGTAATCGAAACTATGAAAGATTCGCTCGAGACACTAATAAACGAAACAAATATTGTAATTGTCTCTCAAGATAAATGAGGACTGAATGCCTATGATTACCAAACATAAATATTTGCAATATATTCAAGAACAAAGTAGCAAAAACGAAGTGGAACAAACTGTGTTATCCCCGACTGGGACACTACTGAACGACACTCTGTTACCCGAGTCGTGGTGCCGCTCAACTGCTGTAGACTGGCCAGAACTGGAGCGTTTGTGTTGCACACTGTTCCCCAAGACTCCAACCACTGAAGACACGTACACAAGACCAGTTATCCAAACATATATTTCTCTTTAGCTTCAATTAATCTAAGAGGTTATTTTGAATCAGTTTAAAAATATTATTTAGATTTTATAACTGCTAAAAAGATATAGATAAGCAATATGAATACTGTGTTTATGCAACACTCAAGACAATTAATAATTTTTATATACAGATGGTAACTTTCCAATTATGGAAAGAAAACAAACAAATGTGGGGATTTTGATGCACAGTACATTTTTTTTTTTTGCAGGAATAATTCTTCTTTACACCTGTGACTATTCTGCCTTCAGCAGTAAAATTAAAAAACTTCAATCATACATTTGAACAACCACTTATATTTATATTTTAACCATATTTATTAAATCACTAACAGGTTAGAGAAAAAGTGGTTAATATAGTCTACACTAAGTCTTAAAAAAAATTAGGGTGATTTAGTTCATCTTGTCATGGCTATGTTTAATACAGTAATACTGTATATAGAGAAAATCTCTCTGATGACTAACGAATATAATATCTGCAATAGTTGAAGCTATTAAGCAACAATAAAAAAGTATTATAATACAGCTTATGACTTACCTATATCCCAAAGTTCATACCAAACTGTCTTGTTGGTGAGCTTCTCCCTCAAAGCCCGTGCTGTTGCTGCCAAGGGCTTGACCAACACCAGGAGGTAGAGATGGGAGGGCAGCGACACCCCTCCCAGCAGACTACTCCACTCACCAGCATTAAGTAGCAAGAGTATACACCTGATAATGAAACCACTTAATTCTCATGAAAGGTCTTGCTGAAATTTGTGTTAATAATGGTAAACACAAATTTTCAGCAATATACCAGTAATTAAGAACAGTTGCAGGTCATGCAGTGGTAAAACCCCCTCCCCCCCATCCTCCATTTTTCGTGAGTGATTTGGCCCTAGGTTCGTATCCTGGCCAGGGATGATTGACTGGGTGCCAATCCTTAACTGTACACCTCTGTTCACCCAGCAGTGATCGAGCACCTGGTTGTTAAACGATTGGCAGGTCATATTCTTGGGGAAACTAGTAGGTAAGGCTTACCATGAGCTATGGAATAGGAAAGCTCTAAGCCTGCTCATACGAGTCAGCAGTCATCTGTTAATGTATCCACCCATGTAAAAAAAATAAAGTACATGTATCTCTTATTATACCCTTTCATCAATTTATATACTTTGTTTAAATTATATTATTAATTCTATTTATATAATGTACATTATTCGTAGGTACACATTGCACATTATATAAAGTCAATGGCACCATCGGACTGCCAATTCTCCACAGGTAATTATCTAATTCTGTACTTCAAGTGTTGTATCAACACCAGAAGTACATATTGGTGTACAGTACTTCTCTAGTAAATACTGTACTTCAAATGTTGTATCAACAAAGTCAGTGATGCAACAAAATATATTACAGAAACAGAAGTTATCTGCCATTCAATACTGCAAGATAAGAAATTTATTGTATGCACTGACTTTTTAAATAGGAAAGACATAAATTAATGGATCAACTCAGATGCTTGGAGAAAGCTCCTATGTAACTTGTCCAGACCAAACACACAACGGAATCCTCACGAACCTTAAGCTGTAGAACACCATCTACAAGCTATGCTCCCATGCTCCCCCAAAGATGAGTTATTATTAAGCAGTCTTTGGGGAATCTGCTTTAAGATTTACAATTATGTGCAGCTAGCTAGCAATATTAATTTAATATTGGACACTATTATAATGGTAACATTGGCTTCATCCATGACCTCATTCCTTCAATGAATAACTAGTCTTTCTAACTTCTCCAATACATCACTTGACATCCACAATCATCCTTTTCTCACTAACGCAAGTTGCCAATTCTATTTACATGTACATTTTGTACATGGGGCATATAAATGTGTTAAGATTCTAACTAATTTTACATGAAAAAATGTTAAAACTTAGGAAAAGGAGGCAATGGTCAGTCGAAGGAAAAAAATAATGAATGGCTCTAACAAATGTACAAAACAGCAGTCCTCAGTCCTACCAGTTATTTACGCCAGTCCACGGAGCAATTCCATCTCGTCCATTGTGAGCACTTAAACATTTTCGAGCTTCATTTGTCAGATCACTCATCACTGAATCTGTAAAAACAAGATAAAATAAGTCTCATAACAAACTTTTACGTGTAGCATGAAGAATAAGGTTGAAGAAATCATCCTGTGAATAAGGAACATATAAAGGTTATTATTGTAATGCATTTCAGCTAAAATACATTATAAGAAATAGTTATGCATTTTTTATAAATTACATTATTATAATTATAATGATTATTATAAAAAAACTTGGGGGGGGGGGGGGGTTGCCAAAGGGGAGGTTGGGTAATTATTTATAACGAATTACCATAAAATTTATTAGCAAATTCTTTATTGTGCAGACGAACAAAAATAATATCCTGTATTTTCATTAAAGTGCATCGAATGATTGTAATATTATTTCCTTGGGGGGGTGCAATATCAAACATGTTCATTAAGCACAGAAAAAAAGATACTTACTATCCACACACGGCAATTCATGCAAGCAGTGCTGAATCTTGGTCATGAGCACCATCCACATCAGCAGCTTGGAGAGGCGTGCCGTGTCCCTACCTGCAAGCTTTGATGAATTGCTGCAAGCTTCATCAAGTAAATCTAGTGCACTCTGGAAGCTCTGCAATGAAAAAACCAGCATTGAATGTAATGAAACGTCATTTTCTGGGCGAGCCTCGGAGGCTCTCTGAAGCTATCCGAACCGATATGTGCCATATTAGTTTGGGGTCATCAGTCACAGGAGTTCCTATGCCTACTGGGGAACCACGAGCCAGAACCTGGTCCCCTCAGAGAGGTGCAGGGAGCAGTGGCCTATGAACCTATGCCTATGGTAGGCATAAGGACTCCTGTGACTGATGACCCCAAATTAATATAGCACATATCAGTTCGGACAGCTTCAGGGAGCCGACGGAGCTCCCCACAGAAATGTTCCTTTCAGTTATGTGGTATCACAATACTTTCAGTGTAGAGTAATATCAATTAAAAATTCAAAGTCAAGAGCAAACTGTGCAGCATGAAACTTACTTTTAATAATCAAACACGGTTGAAGAATATAAGAAATTTAAGTTAAATACAATATAGTATAGCCTACCTTTCTTCAAAGACAAAGTTCTATGGTAGCACTAACCTTTGCTTGAGCCAATTCTACAGCTTTTGCAATATACAAAAAGACAAGCTCTCTCTGAGAGGTCTGAGGCAGCTTCATTAATGTGTTGTAGATGGGGATTGGTATCTCCCACTATAAAGAAAAATAAAATTGTATTGCAATAGAATTAATAAATTTAATTTACAATAAAGATAAGATTTTGAGTCAATATGAAAAGAACCCTTTTTGAACAACCTCACTTGGTTGTTTCCCCAAGGTAAGTATCCATTGTATCATGAAAAGTAATCATGTACAGTCAGCCAGATAACAAACTGAACTTTTCCAGCCCCGCTAATGGCTAATTTTTTTAATATAAAAAAATTATGATTTATTATTAAAAACTCTTACATGATTGTTGAATTAAAAAAAATTCTGCCTCAAATAATTTCTAAACAGATTATCTGGCAGAATATTTAATTAAAACAAGCACACAGAACATAATCCTATATTGTCCTTCAAGATTCAATGATAAAATACGAACAATAATTACCTTCACGTTAAGTTCAGGAATTTCCTTCTTATTCACGTCGAGTCTGGGCGGCATGACATTCTTGTAGTGCATCACAGCACTCTTCAGTACTTGTGGCGAGTAGGAATGAATCAGGTCCCAAATAATATCGTTTAGGTTGTTTGGATCTGACAGTCATAAGGAAAGACATTTAGTATAACAAGATATCAGCATGAATCTATCATCATTATCATCAGTTCCCACTTTGTTACATTTATGAGATGGGGGAGATATTAACCCAGAGATGATAGGAAAGCATGAAAGAAAACTAAGAGTTAAAACATTTTCAAAATGAAACCCATTCATTCACCATACAGTATATTCACCACAATTATCATCACAAAGGGGACAGACATGATGCACTAAACTATAGTGTGAACCGATTGATTGATGAAGATTAAGACACCCCAGAGGTGGCACGGGCATGACTAGCCCGTAAATAAAATGTCAATAACATGCATCCCACAAAAAATTATAGAAAAGGTCCTTGGAAAAAGAATTACTAAACGCTTGGAAAGATTACATTTTTTTAACAGAGGGATAACAGGAATTCAAAACAAAATTTCCATGCATAAACTCAATTATTCTCAGGCACTCCTTCCTGGTCCATTTCTCCGAATACAAGTCAAATCGTACTCAAACTAGTTTGCCAATAAATTTTAAAACCTAGCTAAACGTTACTCATCTAACACAAACAACTTAATGAAGCCAAACACAACCTAAACTAATACACCTAAACCTATCAATATATATACAGCTTTGACAATAAAGAATAAATGTCACAGAACTGTTTTTGTGCATGAATCAAAGATACCCCGTCTCTTTTAGGCTCGAGTGGTTTGACTTGAGACTCAATACAATTGTGAATTGGCTAGTATTTGGGATTTGGTCTGTGTTTATGTCAGGTGCTTAAGTGTGTATGAATGCTATCTGGCAATCCTTGGGTTGGAAATCTGAGCCTGAAAAGGCTAGGAAACTTTGCGTGTGCTTTATAAAAAGGGGGAAAAAAAAAGACCATTTTAAGCTGAAAACTGCATTTTTAGTGTCAAACTGCACACGGGATTACCTGGAAGGGACAGTTTGAAAACTTTCCTATTGGCTAATGCAAGTTTTTGACCAGCCCTGATTAAGCTCAACCAGGCTGTGAGCAGCCATGTCCAACAGCCTGGTTGACCGGTCCAGCAAAAGGAGGCCTGGTCGGAGACCAGGCCATGGGGACATTGAGCCCCGAAATCATCGCAAGGTAACCGCTAGGTAATCCAAGGGTACTAATGAAGCTTGGGTATCCAAGGGTAATCCAAGGATACTAAGAAAGCTTGGGCCCCCAAGGGAACTAACAAAACTTGGGCACCCAGGGGTAGTAATGTAGAGTTAAGAACAACTTATTTATATCCAAAAATAGTTAAATATCACTGTACCTGTCACAGTGGCATCTGGAGATGTCTTATTGGAGCACGCTCTTCCTTCTTCATACTGTGGCCACATTGCAAGTAGTTCCTCTTGTGAGAAGAGAGCTTTAAGTGGGGGGCAGATTCTGATTGCAGGGACCAGCACTTCTTTGATGCTTGATGTTAAGTTAACAGTTATAAAAAATAAGCGTATCCTCTCTTTATGGGAGCTAGTAAACCTTGAAAACTTTGCAGCTAAAACCTGAAAAAAACAACGTTGAATATAATGAAACGACAATTTGTGATTGAGCTCCGGTGGCTTCCTGAGGCTACAATCCTAATACAGTGACAGGTGCCATCAGTCACGGAATTCTTTTCAACCTACCGGGGACCTCAAACAAGATGTATACAGAACTAAGAGTCAAACCCCGAGAGGCCAGAGTACAAACTACATGTAGAGTCTAACTCCAAAGAGACAGTGCTTGAAGAGAAACCCCTGGTTGAGACAATAAACCACAGGAAGACTGTCCTAATGGAGCCGGACTACAGAGCCCAGAGGGGTCTGAGCCCTATGCAGCACATGCCAGACTCTCACACAGTAACGAAGGCAACAGGACCATGGCCCCAAACCAAATTTTTGAGCAATGGTCACAAAGCCTCTACCGAGATCAGAGGCATATGTGAAGATGCCTCAAATTCTTCACAGAATCATTGGGGTGCTTTCCTGGTGGAGGTGGGCATAATTAAAATTCACTGACAATTTCATCATAGTGCCACAGCTCTCTGTACCTCTTTTGAGGGGGGGCCATGTTCTGGCTCGTGGTCTCCGGTAAGCTAAAGAGAATACCCACAACTAATAACACATAGTATAGCGACACCTTGGCACTATATCAGCATTGTAGCTTCAGGAAGCCACAAGGGAAAATAAGGTCTACTACATAATGAAAATTTCCTTCCAATTTCCCACCCAAAAAGCTAAAAAAACACTAAAATTTGTTTAAGGCATTCTGTACTTAGGAGTTATTAAGATTACTAACCTGAATCAGAAACTGTACACCTGGTTTGCCACCTTGAGCTAAGGCAGCAGGATAGTTGCTATTCCACAAGTCTCCTTCCAATACATTCCGAACAGTATTCAATGTCTGCACCTGTTGAGGGCCATTAAAATAGTAGATTTATATAACATTCGAGAAATAACAAGTGGCAACAATTTAAGCTATTCTTTACAATATTAGGATTTTTAACATTTCCTTTACTGTAGGAAATGTTGACAAGAGAAGAGTTCCATTTCTCATCTTGAAAATAAATTGAAATGGATGGTGGTAACTCTACCCTTCTTTCTCTCCTACTATTCTACCCTTTAATCTCAAGTTCTGTCTTGGCTCTCCCTTTCACTAACTTCCATTCTTCTATTGTTCTTATTCCTCTTCTTATAGAAACACTTCTTTTCCCTTCCACTCTTGCTACCCTGCTTCTCCTCTCCCTCCTCTTCTCTTTTCCTCTCACCTACCTCCCTCTCACCCTTCCTCCCTCCCACTCTTCTCTAGCCCATCCTCTATGATGTTTACTTCTTCATCCCTTCAATTATTCTAATTTTTTCCCCATCCCCACCACTCCCATTACAAAATAAATATACTACTGCACATGTTGTTTTATCACGCCGCCTCTACGCTATAAACGCCTAAAAAATTCCATACCTGTAGAAGAAATCCTGGTGGTGCCTTTTCAGGTTTAGCTTGTAGCTCCAGTTCAAGATTCTTCCTCAAGTATGATGGAATCTCAAGGGCCACATTGTCTTCCGACAGAATCTTGATCAAGTCCTAAAAATGACGTAAACCAGTTTTGAGGGTTTTATATCATTCGGAATAATTTGTTATGCAATACAGGATTTGACGATTGCTACATAGGAAAATGGCATGCAATACATACCTGCTTGATGGGGTTCTGGGAGTTATTCCACTCCCCAAGCCTGGTCTGTGGCCAGACTTGACTTGTGAGAGCTGGGTTCAATATTACACATTTTTCTGCATTATGCTTATAAAAAAAATACCTCAGGATTTTTCCCCTGATAATAATGAATGATGTAACGGGTAGCCTACACATGACATTTTTGGAATAAAAGACAATTGCTTTAAACTAAATGAAATATGCAATGAAATAGTTCCTGCAATAAAAATATTTCACACAGTATTTTAAGCACATTGATATACAGTGTACATAAATATAAGTTAACAAGCAATTGGTAAAAGGGTAAATAAGTGATTCTGTAATTGGCAATGTATTCATGGGAAGTTAAGAATACTATGTACAGTATAGTAAATATGATTAGTTGGAGAAACATTTTGAATTGATAGTGCTGTGCAAGATTGAATTCCATGGCAAATGGATGATGGTACCTCCCGAAGATGCAAGAAGTGCTAGTCGAGAAGTTAGGAATGCAATAAGAGGTTTGGCTGTCAATAGACGATATGAGATATGCTGTATGTATGTATGTATGTATGTATGCAATGTATCAATGCCCAACAGAGACATGTGTACAAATAATGGTAGTGGCTGATGTGATGACCAAATCACTCATCAGAAAATGAAGAACTGACGATGTTTCGGTACATTCTAGACCATTATCAGGTGTGTTTATCTTCTGATGTGTGTGGTTTGGTCATCTATTACACAGCTAATACGAAAATGCTCACCTGAAATCCACTGCAGCTAGAGTGCAAGAATCTGTCATAAAGTGATCTCTGTTCTAAGGGCGTTGACTGACTACAGAGGGATGCACAGCTCTTGTAGTACCCCCTCAACTTGCCCTCATTCACTTGGCAATAGTCTGGATGGGATCCTAATTCTGGTAAGAGTTTACAGGCTTCAGAGAAGTGAGAATATGCATCTTCGTATCTCTCCTGAAGGAAGTGGTAAGCACCTAGGTCATAGTGGATCTGGAAAAGTACATCTGGATACATTCAGGTAATAAGTGGTGTCAAGTACTAAAAAAAAAAAGTCTTGAGAAAACAGTCAAAACAGCCAAGGTTCCAGTGATCCACAGACCCATCAATAGGTTGTTCTAAGCCCAAATATTATATCTTGTGTTTACAGTACTGTATCATCATTATAACCCTAAATGTATTACTTGAAAAAATCCCTTCAGAGCCTGTACTGGGATGTTACCCAGCATACAGTTCCGACAGCGTGCGGAATCTTACCTCTGGGAGCAATTGAACGATATAGTTCAGAAAGCTATAACCTGAAAGGTAAGGCAAGGTAAGGCATCAGAAGAGAGCACCAAGCCTTTATAACTATATAGCACTTGGAAGAGATATGAGGGTAAGGATTTAGGATAGGACAAGGAAAGGAATAATTCCCAACCACTTGCACAATCGGGGATTGAATGCCGACTTGCAAGAAGCGAGTACAGGAATCCATTTTAGATGTAAATACAGCATCAACTTTTTAACAATCAGCCAAAACAGCAAAACAGAACGATACAAACCTGACATTTGAACTGCTCATCTGCTACAGACTTGCAGCGTTCCCATGCATGAGATATGACAGTAGTATGGTGGGTGTGCACAGTGAATGTTGGTAGCACTGGTGCACGAACCTATTCAATAAGTAAAAAAAAAAAATAAAAATATTAGAGGATTAACAGTTACTGTATACTAGGAAATATATTGGTACAATGAAAATGTACAAATCAATACATTTATTTATTTATTTATATATATACCAGAGTATATCTGAACAACAATCGACTTGAGAATTGTCCAGGACGGACCGAAACGTCGTCGTCCCTTCACCTTCTAGTGTATGGTCTGGTCAACATACTTTAGCCACGTTATTGTGACTCATCGCCTGCATATTTGAACAAATCCACAAGGGCCTTGATGAGGCTTCGAACCTATGCACTGGATGTTCTCTAGATGTACTTTAACTAGAGTGCAGCTGGGAACATCTAGCACATAGGTTCCAACCCTCATCAAGAACCTTGTGGATGTGTTCATTTGATATATATCATGTTATTGTGATTTCTGTGTGTGAGTGTAGTTCTTACATTCTTGTAATGCCACTACAGTACTCCCCCCCCAACACACACACATACACTGTAATTTTAAAGCATTATATGACAAATAGTGCTGGAAGATGGGACACTATGAGAGTAGCTCTCATCCAGTCTTAGGTAATTAAATTTTGGTAATTACACACACACACACACACACACACACACACACACACACACACACACACACACAATACATACATGCAACTAGGTGAATACACACACACACACACACACACAAAACTCTCCTCATGCTGAATTGATCAGTCTGTTCTCAACTGGAGCAAGTTCATTCTACTACACCCACAAACTCACAAAACCTGAGTTAGGTCAAGCGGAGTCGCACTTTACACCCAAAATGAGACCACAAATCTTTCTAAAAATAATCCAACAATGAATTCATGCACTTGTGTTAAAATTTCTGAATTTTAAATAATTGTGATAAACATAACATGTCTCATTACCTTTGTTAAATTTGAAATCGTGATAAAACCTACCTCACCGGCTCCTAGTAACTGTTCTAGAATCCTGACGGACACATCACCACCTCTTTCGAGAACGCTCAATATGCCTTCCTGGACTTCACGAGACTCATGTGTGGGATCCTGCTGCCCTGGACTGTAAAAACAAACATGGGTATTACACAATAATAACCCATTTGACAAGAGGATACCGTCACTTCAACAACCTTGCACCTTTCCAAAGTAAATGCAGCAGAATGAAGGTACCAAATGACTACAAGAGACTCACTGTGCGTGTGACTTCATTGTGCGTGTGACTTTGCGATGAAGGTCTAGGAGGAACCGAAATGTTATCACTTTTTTTGCATATGTTTGTTAGATTATTTGTTGTCAGACTTGTTATTGTGACTATCTCTGCTTAGTTAATCCTAAAACCATAATGAGAGAAATAAAGAGCTTACACAATTATTTAATTACAGATTACCAACTATAAATTTACCAACTACAGAATATTTCAAACTCTTGATCCTTATTCTACTTGAATATAACCAATGAATCGCTTACATGGGGACATTGGAGACCTTGATAGGTTTGGCTGGTAATTTAGTTCGTACGAGTGCTCGAAGAGCATAGCGATGATACAAGGCAACACTGAACAGCTGATAAGGAAGCAAGGGACCAGTGTCCAGTGTCCCATGTGTTGTTGGGCTGCTCATCTCCTCTAAAGTCTCGTGCAGCAATGCAATGAGGAGAGCATCTTGCATATGCAAAGGTAATCTGAAAAGTTATGAAAAAATACTTACATGATGAAACATCCATATGTTAAAAGTTACTTCAACAATTTAACACACACAGTAAAAGACTTCAGCGAGCAGAACAAGTGCAAAATTAGGAGCAAAGACTGTGTTAAATCTTTTTTGTTGACCAAACCACACTAGAAAGTAAAGAGACGACGACGTTTCGGTCCGTCCTGGACCATTCTCACAATCGATTTGAGAATGGTCCAGGACGGACCGAAACGTCGTCATCTCTTCACGTTCTAGTGTGTGGTTTGGTCAACATATTTCAACCACGTTACTGTGACTCCTCGTCTGCATGTGTTAAATCTTTTCTATATACAGAGTAATTTCAAGAACACTCAGCATCTCTCCATCTATACCAATTAATAATAACCACAGACTTATAAGAGCACAGGCCTCAACTTTCTACATCTGCCAGACAATGAACAACAATGAACATACTTCTGTTCAAAAATTTCCAAGTTCCAGTTGAGGTGAGCTGCTGTTTTGAGAGCCAACACAGAGAGTGCATTTTTCTTCTTGTTGTTGCTTTCTTGTGTTGAAACGTCCATGGTCTCCACCTGCCAAAAAGTATTAGTGACAAAATGAATTCATCTGGATTATTATTACTATAATTATGGTAAATGGCAATAACTAGGCCTAAAACAAAGCCTAATTTTCATTATAACTAAATTGTTCATTATCCTAGTATTATGTTCAATACAAATGGATTAGCTAGTTAGCTTAGACACACATTCCACATAAAAATTTTAAATTAAATCATTATTATTATGTTACAGTATTTCTATTCTTTATATTCATCCCAAAAAGCTTTAAATACTGTATATCTCAAATGTATAAAATCATATTTACAATCTCAGAAGTTCTGCCATAAAAATAAAAAGTTTTGAATGTAATGAAACTAAAATTCCTGGTTGAGCCCCGGAGGCTACAATCTTTGATAGAGTGCCATACTACTAGGTGACATCAGTTACAGAGTTCTATTAACCTACCAGGGACCATGACCCAGAACCTGGCTTCCCTCACAGAGGAACAGGGAGCAGCAGCACTAGTAATAACATTTTTATGACTTTATTCATGTCTGTCACCACCGAGGAAGGCACCCAGTCAATGACACAAATACCACTGTTGGCTTCAAACGAGACCATAGCCTCAAGAACTGTCAAAAGAACTCCCCCGACAATGTAACAAATTATCAAATTTTAACAAAACTAGAGTGAGCTCATTCAGCCACCTAGAGGAGGGGGGGGGGGGGGAGGCAACCCAGAGTCAGCTGGCTGCTCAATCCTCAGTTCTATTAGGATGGAAACACCCCTAAACTGACACTTAAACTGCACATGGCGTATATATACTGTCACGTGAATCCCCTGCATAGCAGTGGGAGGGAGTGTTGAGGGAGGAGTGGCAGCGAGTGGCTGACTGGTGTGTGGCGGCCACTCTTCGTTGCTCTTTGACTCACAATACCAACTTGGTGGTTCGTTATTGTGAGCAAAACATGCAGATACTTATATATATCCTGTGTATATAGTGTAATAACAGCAAAACTATTTGTTTATTGTTTTATGAACATAATAAATGAATCACTAATATGCACACTATGCTTTTGAGTATAGTGATGATTCACCTCTTTTATTATATAAATATATCACACTACACAATATTGAATAATATTACTGAAAAAAAAAATAAGATAACATCAATCAGAGACATTGAAATAATTAGGTAATAATATCTTTGTGGCAACTCCCGCCTTTCAGCTCGGGTGACATTGACCGTTTCTGACGACTGCTCTGTCAACGCCCACATTTTGCCAGACTTCCGCGGCCTATTGTGCCCAAAATATGTCATCTACGATTTTTTTTTATTATTTTTCCTGTGCTCAGGGAACACAAATTAACATTTTTAGAAGTTGAACATTTTTTAGAATATTTTTTTCTTGAGCACAGGAGTGTAAATCTCTTCAGGACCCCTTACCAGCTTAAGGGTTAATGCCCTGGGGATGGGAGGGAGGGAGTCTTAAGAGCCACAGGGCTCACCAAGAAATTGGCATTTCAGTATCGAATCTTGTATCAGGGATTTATTAATAGTTTGTTAATTGCAGCATTTAATTTAGGGATTGGTTTTGAGTATTTTAGAATAATTTGTAAATTATTCCACTAGTAATGTCACTTCTTGATGATGAGAGCAGATCAAATTTCTAACAAGTGACAAATAAGCAATCTACATACTGTACAATACATAGTAAAAAAAAAAAAAAAAAAAAAAAAGCAATTCCTACCTCATTATTTCCGCCATCGGTTCTCTTGATGCTATTGTATATGAATTGAATGATCAGTCCAATTGCAGATGGTTCTGAAATTACAATCATAAAACCTAGTTATTGATATCAGATTGTCAATCAAATTTATCAATTATTACCATCTTTATCATGTTATCCACTAGAAAGAGAAAAGCATACAGAAGAAATCATAGTAAATAAAATAAAAGTAATGTTTCAATTGTATTTTAACGTGGCTTTGCTAATTAGTCCAACAACACCATGCATATCCGTCATATCATTCTCGCCAGTTTATTAAAACTCTATCATTCATTAATAATCATATCTACACTTGGCTGAAGAAAACACAACGGCAGACAGCAACGTAGAGAATCTCCAGCATGAAAGTTGATTGTGATTTATAGATACAGTAATATTTTGTAATATAGATTACAGTAATATTTTGTAGTATTGATTACAGTGATATTTCTGTATTAGTTTCATCTAACAGAGATACACATGAGTAGTGCATTTTTCAACTTTATAAGCACTATACAGTGTACCTGTTTACCTCTGATTTAAAAAAATATATAGTGGAACCTCGAGTGACGAGCGGCTCCAGTTACGAGCATTTCGAGTAACGAGTAAGCCACTCGCAGAACATATGTCTCAACTGACAAGCTTTCACCTGATTAACAAGCGTTCTTGCTGGTTCTCGGACACCTCTGACGACAGTTTTGTTGTTGTTTCGCAAGACGAATTTTCCACATGACGAGCTCGGTGCAGGAACGGATTAAACTCGTTAATCGAGGGGCCACTGTATATCTTACGAATACAAAATAATTTTTACCGAATCTGGTATTTCTGCTACAAACGCAAGTTATACCGAAGGGGAGGGGGTGGATACAGATTATTTATACAATGCATTTGTATTCAACAATGTTTAGACAAAAACTGTCGGCAAATTTATTACTCAACAGCAGCATTTCTTAACCTGGGCCCCAAGGTAACAAAGGGGTTCAATAAGATAATGTTAAATAGACCAATTCTAATCATATACAAAAGTATTTTAAGAATAAATTTTGTGTTTAATTTTTCTCATTTAACCAGTATCGAGAGCAAAGACAGAAATACCCTGTAGTCTACTTTCAGTCAACACCAAAATCTGAGCAAGTTTGACTAAAGAACAACCAAGAAATATTCCAATGATATAAAGACTGAGAAACACTGCTCTATTGTCTATATTGCCAAATATTTTGCCTCCCATAGAAACCCCTCTTTTTTAGGAGAAAATTGCCCTACCAAAAATCCTGTTCAAACCAGTGACCACCTTCGAGTGTCAAGACAGGCTATAATGAGGACGTGGAACACAAAAAATAATAATAATAACATACTGTCAATTGTAAAACTACAATAAAAATTAAAGAAAGTTACTATTTACTTTGAGAAATGGCTGTATAGAAAGACTGAGGATTGCCTTGGCAACCAGAGCTATATAGCTATTCTGACTTGGCCCTTTCTTTTGATAATTACTTGCATCAGCAAAGCATAGGTTGTTGGACTACAGAATGTTAGTTTAAACAAATTTGATGTAAAGAACTAAATTTCTTAACTCACCTGGATTTGTTTGATTCAGGTGAGACTCTAACAATGTAGGATTAAGGAGGAATTCAAACCAAGCAACAATGTCTGAAGCCATTTTGACTTCTGATCACCTGTGGGAAAATCAAAATGACCTATTTACCTTAAAAAAGAAAAAGAAAAAACATATAAAATGAAAACATTAAATTAACTTTTCCTGTTCTTGAATCACCTGGTTTACAGCAAGTATTACAAGCAGTTAAATACAAAAGGCAACAATGACTGTATTTTACCATGACTGACAAAGTGAGAATTCTGTTTTGCCAATAGTGGCAAATGAACAAGATTTGTAGTTACTGTATTGTTACCAAAATGGTACCTTGATGTGTTAGTAACATTAAATACACTTCTTTAAATGACAGAGAAAGTGTTTGTATATATCAAGACCTATTGTGTATAATAAAGCAAGTCCTACTTGCAACTTCAAATATCGGGACCATTTACAAGTGATGGCCCCAAGCACTAATCAAACTAAATTAACATATTGTTATACCTGTGTGTCATATTTTTGTCTGGTAATCCTTGTGGACCACTATGCTATATATACCAAGATGTGTAATTTGCATCTCAATGTATATATGTAGAACACAGGCTAAACTATACTGTAGTTACAAACACCTTTCAGGGCTACAGTATACACACATGCCAGTTACTCAATAAGTTATTATGCTGCACTTAATCACTCCCAATATTGCACGGATGTTCAGCTGGGAAGGCCTGTGAGGGTGGGTAGGTGATTGAGGTGGGTGTGTATATGTGTGGGTGAGGGAACCAGGCACATATGAAAATAATATGGTTAGTAGGCAAAGATGCATAGTCTATTAGGACTATCATAAACCAATAATCAATGTAGATCGTCAGAAGTCGGTCTCCAGACATGTCCAAAAGCTATCTTCCATGCATGTCAGACACAGTTTCTGACCATATAACATGAGAACTATGGAATATTAAGATTTGACTGATAAATGCAATGTAGTGGGTAATATGGTTTTCTTTCAGGTCTGGTGTATTTCCCAGCCATTTTGAAGAGATAATTTTCCCTGTCCATGGACCAATATTACAATCTTGGAGTAGGATCTACAACCTGAGAAAAGTTTGACCTGCATGTCATTGCTACTCTTTCATCCTAACCCAACCCAACCCACCTAATCCAATCCAATCCAATCCATCCCAACCCAACCCATCCTAAAGCAACATATCCTAACCCATCCAATCCCACCCCAACCTAACCTATCCTAACCCAGCCTAACCTATCCTATCCCAGCCTAACCTAACTTATCCTAACTCAACCTAACCTATCCTTAGCTAACCTATCCTTAGCTAGCCTATGCTTAGCTAACCTATCCTTAGCTAACCTATCTTTAACTAACCTATCCTTAGCTAACTTATTCTCTCCCAACCCATCCTATCATAATTGAACCAAACCTAAGAAAATAAAAGATAATTTTTTTTTAACTTTATACAGTATATAGTGTGCATGTGTGTGATGTCACTAGGACATCATAATTGTAATGCCAGCATAGGCTTTAAATGCTTCTGCAATTTTTTATCATCACTCGCCCTAATATCGCATACTACACTTTGTAGTATTCTTCTTGGGTGTCTGCAGGTCTGCAACATAAACTTTGGGAATCCTATATCTGCCTAAAAGGAATAAAAATATATATATTCATAATTTTAAATGTCTTCCTGTCCCCAAATAACAGCTACTTTGGAAAGATACAAGTCACGTTGTACTCAAGACGATTCACCAACAGATTTTGAAAACTACCTAACCTAACTTAACCCTAACGCAATATATCCAAACCCAACCGAGAACAATACAGCCTAACCTAAACTAATACATCCTAGCCTGACAATATATGCAGTCTCCGTGGTGTAGTGGTAAGACACTCGCCTGGCGTTCCGCGAGCGCTATGTCATGGGTTCGTATCCTGGCCGGGGAGGATTTACTGGGCGCAATTCCTTAACTGTAGCCTCTGTTTAACGCAACAGTAAAATGTGTACTTGGATGAAAAAACGATTCTTCGCGGCGGGGATCGTATTCCAGGGACCATAGGATTAAAGACTTGCCCGAAACGCTACGCGTACTAGTGGCTGTACAAGAATGTAACAACTCTTGTATATATCTCAAAAAAAAAAAAAAAAAAAAAAAAAAAAAAAAAAAAAAAAAAAAAAAAAAAAAAAAAAATATACAGTTTTAAACAAAAACTGAGCTTCGTGGAATCGTTTTGAGCACGAAATGACCATACCCCTTAATAAGAATGGATGCCACGCCACAAAGCACTGCACCAGCGGGAGTTTTACACACACACACACACACACACACACACACACACACACACACACACACACACACACACACACACACACACACACACACACACACACACACACACACAGTCCCTTAATAGCTTCACCAGGATGATTTACACCAAACAAACCACATTATCAACCATTTACCATCACACAAAAGAAGCAACAAAGCTTCCCTTCCTGGACACGTAAACAAGAACCACCAGGGAGAAATAATTTCAACTTCAACGAGGACGATAAATTAGAGCAACGTACTGAGAGTTTAATCACTTACTAAATTTGTGTTAAAATCACAAATTGCCATATAATTATCTTGTTAGAACACCCGATAGAACACTATAACACCACACTGTTCACTCCTTCAGGAGAGTCACTAGTGAGTGAGAGGGTGTAGGAGGGGGAGAGGACCCTCAAGACGTAAACAAAGTCAACTAAACCTTCCGGCGGGGCGCCGCTATGATATCAAAAGTAAACATTCTAAAAAATATATGTTTACTTAAAAAAATGTGTTTATACAGGATCATTTTATATAGGACGTCACTGATTATGTCTCTAACCTCTATTTGTTGCTTGCTTGTAGCGGGGAATGTTCTCAAAGTGTTATAAGGAATGTTCTCAAAGTGTTGTAAGGAATGTTCTCAATGCTTATTTATTTATTTATTATTTATTTATATACAAGAAGGTACATTGGGGGTTAACAGAGAACATAGAAATTAAGTTGATTTTACATTCTTGTAAAGCCACTAGCACGCATAGCGTTTCGGGCAAGTCCTTAAACTAACAGATAATTTTTAGATAATTCACAGGGAAACTGACAAAACATGTTTACAGGTACTTTACAGCTTTACTTTACAGGTACATTGTAAGACAATTTTGACACAAGCAGATTAGAATAATACACAATAATGAACAAGGATTACTAGGTACATTAGGATAACATTTCAGGGTTATACATTGGTTCACTGAAGCACAATATTAGGATTACAAGGAATAATGCAGCAGAATATGCACTCAATACAACAACCATATGATATCAGATGATATCCAAGATTACAATGGTAAAGTAATATGGCTTAGGTACAAATATTGGGGGATTGGGTAGCACTAGATACAGTGTGAGATAAAGCACTAGGTAGAAAACTATGAAGAAGAAATTAGGTACTTTTTGGTTTTATTTTTGAATAAGGCAAAAGTTGGACAGCTTTTCAATTCATTAGAGAGTGAGTTCCATAGACTAGGTCCCTTTATTTGCATAGAGTGTTTACACAGATTAAGTTTGACTCTGGAGATATCAAAGAGATGTTTATGTCTGGTGTAGTGAGTATGTGTTCTATCACATCTGTCCAGGAAGAGTTTCAGAACAGAGGTTGCACTTAAGAAAAGGGTTTTATAAATGTAATTGACACAAGAGAATGTATGGAGTGAATTTATGTTTAGCATGTTTAGGGACTTAAACAGGGGAGCTGTGTGTTGTCTGAAAGCAGAGTTTGTTATTGATGTCCTGACAGCAGATTTTTGCTGGGTGATGATGGGCTTGAGGTAGTGTTGTGTTGTGGGGGATGTTCTCAAGGTGGGATGGGATGTTCTCAAGGTGGGATGGGATGTTCTCAAGGTGGGATGGGATGTTCTCAAGATGTGGGATGTTCTCGAGGTGTAGTGTGGGGGATGTTCTCATGATGACGTGGTGGTGGGAGTGCCACGGGGTGGGGTGCCAGGGGTGCCACGGGTTGAGACGCATGTGGCAACTCACGTCTTCTTGTTTCCGGTGTTGTTATGGTAACAGTCATCGTCGGTGTTGCCATAACAAGTTCTCCTAATATTTGCCCCCTAATTTATTGAGACTCTTTCCTGCCTCATCTACTCCAAGTATTGACCAGTGTGGTATATACCCGTCACCTTATATCTAACACAGTGCCTCATATCTAACACATAGTTGCTTGTTTCTGTTTTACTTGGGCGGAGTATGAGTATTATGACTCGTATGGTCGCTTCAAAAAGATTTTGCCATATGTGTTTAACAACTTCTTCTGCTCTGTTGAATCTAAGTTGAAATCTTAATGGGTTTGTAACTGTGCTCTGTGTTAGATAATGTTCCAGTGGTCTGTTGGGCATTTCTCCACAGTGATGACATTTCCTCTCATCTTCCGGAACCTGTAAGCCTATTTCCCATGCACATGGGTATCCAAGCCTGATGCGATGAAAGTGTACTTCTGTTGTTCTACTGCTCCCTTTCATCAAACTAAGTGGTTCGTAGTTGGTTGAATTCATGTACCAACCCGCAGATCCTGATGTTGCAACTGCTGTGTTGTGGTCACTGTACATCTTTTGCATTGCTCTGTTTAGTGTCTTATATTTAGTGGCCTCCTTGAGAGATGTAATCAGTCCGGGCGTCTCGCTTCTGTTTCATCTTTGGCATTCCTGTATAAGAAGTCTTAGAAGTTTGTCAGGCAGGACTTGTCTCAGTGACATCATACTGATGCTTGCATGTGAACCTTATTCTTACAGGGAACCCTAAGAATGTTTTTCTCACACAAGTTGAGACACGGAGACAGTCCCACGTGGCATGGAATGAAGGAATCAGTAATTAATATTGATGACAACATTTCCTGCTGAGAGGAGCTGGGCTGTCGGGGTCCCTCTATCACGCTTATCCGGGAAAAAGTTCGCCACTTCCTCTCTGATAAAAGTAATTGGCCAAATGACTTCGGTTTCCCCCTAGAGATACGTCCCCTCATGTTAGCTGTGTGTGTGAGGTTATGGCTCCTGCCTTAGACGAGCCCTTGTGCCTTGATGTGTTCATTGGGTTCCAACTCTGTGTGCCTCTAAAATATTAACCTAAACTGTCTTGGGCCTAAATAAACAGTCCTGAATCCTCATTTAGTACATATTTGTGCTTTACTAGACCTAAGGAAGTTTAGATGAGAATGTTGCTATCTTCGTGCTATACCCACTCACCCAGTTTAATACTTAAGGCTTGCAACTTCACCAGTATTATGTTGAACTCGAATTCTGCGACAATGTGCCTATTAATACATTTACCTTTATCAGTTAAATCAAGGATCTGCCCGGAACAATATATAAATAAAATAAATAAATAAATAAATAAATATGTTTATTCAGGTAAGGTACATACATACAAGTGATGTTACATTAATGGATTGATATATAGATAGAGCTAGTACATACAATGCCTAAAGCCACTATTACGCAATGCGTTTCGGGCAAGAAAAACATTAATATCTAGAACTTAATACTAATTGAGCATAAAGAATAAAAAGTGTTGAAAACAAATACAAATAAAGATAAAAAAAAGGGGGAACATGACTGAAAAAGCAGCACAAATACAATAGGTTGACAAACAGTGTTGATTAAAAAAAAAATATAATAATAATAAAATAAAATAACAGATATGGGTTGACAATAAATGAGTGAGGTGGGTTACAGGGAATTTATTAGGTATTGTTTAGTTTTTATCTTAAACTGGTTGAGAGAGGTACAGTCTTTAACATGGTTGGGAAGGTCATTCCACATTCTGGGTCCCTTGATTTGTAGAGCATTTCTAGTTTGATTAAGTCGAACTCTAGGAATATCAAAACTGTATTTATTCCTGGTGTGGTGCTCATGGGTTCTGTTACAACCTTCAATGAAGCTTTTGAGGTCAGGATTGGCATTACAGTTTAGCGTTTTATATATGTATAATACACAAGAGAGAATGTGCAGTGACTTAATATCTAACATATTCAGAGATTTGAGTAAGGGTACCGAGTGATGTCTGGGGCCAGAGTTGGATATTGTCCTAATAGCAGCTTTGTGTTGGGTAATGAGAGGACGTAAATGATTTTGGGTAGTAGAACCCCAAGCACAAATACCATAGTTGAGGTATGGATAGATGAGGGAGTAATAGAGAGTAACCAGAGCAGGGCGGGGTACATAATATCTGATCTTAGAAAGAATGCCAACAGTTTTTGAAACTTTTTTTGATATATTTAGAATGTGACCCTGGAAATTCAGCTTGTGGTCGATGAGAACGCCAAGGAATTTGCCATCTAATTTGTTACAAATTTGGGTATTGTTTATTTTGAGATTTATCTGATTAGAGGATTTATTGCCAAACAGAATATAAAACGTTTTGTCAATGTTAAGGGTGAGTTTGTTGGCAGTTAGCCAAAGATGGACTTTCTCTAGCTCAGTATTTACTGTGGCATTTAGAGCAAGGGGGTCAGGACTGGAGTAAATGAAGGTTGTGTCGTCAGCAAATAGAATTGGTTTGAGGTGTTGGGAGGCATTTGGAAGGTCATTAATGTAGATGAGAAAGAGGAGAGGGCCAAGTATGCTGCCCTGAGGAACACCAAAGTTGATGGGTAGGGTGGGAGAAATTGTATTATTCACAGAAACATACTGGAGCCTGTCAGTAAGATAAGATTTGAGGTATTGCAGGGAGTGTCCTCTGACTCCATAATGATGTAATTTAAGAAGAAGGTTTTGATGGTTGACAGTGTCAAAAGCCTTACGCAGGTCCACAAATAACCAGGTCCACAATAACAAATATATGCATGTTAGTGGGTTTGTAAGAAATGCAATGCTCAAACACCAATCTTATGTACTCTCACAACCCAATGAGACTACTTGGATATAAATAAATAAATAATATTTTTGTATTTTTGTGTATATATATAAAAATATAATTAGGTTAGGATATCCCTGAAATAAACGTCCCGAGGAGCAGGGCTGCCAACCTTCCCGCATTAAACTCGTACAATTTTTGTTTTATTCTCACTTTCCTTTTGACCAATTAACAGTTTATCGGGTGTTATAAAAATAATATAGTTAAAATAAGAGTTAATTATACATTTGTGTTTGTAAATATAACTGGTTTTTCTAATGCGTATAATGGTCACTCAGTTGAGCATAGGGGCTTCTGGCAAGAATATTTGGAGAGGCTACTGCTGTATATCTATGTGATATAATAATTACATTATAGTGCACGAGTATATGTAGGCGAGATGAATATTACACATTGCACAGTATAAACATGCGCTGATTAATTATGTTAACACTGAGAGCGAAGCATTGAGGAATTGTGCGCTTCAGCTTGATGACGTTAAGCTTCCTCTAGCGTATATATGTTCCAAGTTACATCCTGATCTACGCAATGTTGTCCTGTGGCAGTGTGACGCGAAGCTCGGTGGGGTGTGGTGGTGTTTAGTGGGGGTGTGGTTGTGTCAAGCTTGGTGGGGGTGTGGCTGTGTCAAGTTTGGTGGGGGTGTGGTTGTGTCAAGTTTGGTGGGGGTGTGGCTGTGTCAAGTTTGGTGGGGGTGTGGTTGTGTCAAGTTTGGTGGGGGTGTGGCTGTGTCAAGTTTGGTGGGGGTGTGGTTGTGTCAAGTTTGGTGGGGGTGTGGCTGTGTCAAGTTTGGTGGGGGTGTGGTTGTGTCAAGTTTGGTGGGGGTGTGGCTGTGTCAAGTTTGGTGGGGGTGTGGTTGTGTCAAGTTTGGTGGGAGCGTGGCTGTGTCAAGTTTGGTGGGGGTGTGGTTGTGTCAAGTTTGGTGGGAGCGTGGCTGTGTCAAGTTTGGTGGGGGTGTCGTTGTGTCAAGCTTGGTGGGGGTGTGGTTGTGTCAAGCTTGGTGGGGGTGTGGCTGTGTCAAGCTTGGTGGGGGTGTGGTTGTGTAAAGTTTGGTGGGGGTGTGGTTGTGTCAAGTTTGGTGGGAGCGTGGCTGTGTCAAGTTTGGTGGGGGTGTCGTTGTGTCAAGCTTGGTGGGGGTGTGGATGTGTCAAGCTTGGTGGGGGTGTGGCTGTGTCAAGCTTGGTGGGGGTGTGGTTGTGTAAAGTTTGGTGGGGGTGTGGTTGTGTCAAGTTTGGTGGGTGCGTGGCTGTGTCAAGTTTGGTGGGGGTGTCGTTGTGTCAAGCTTGGTGGGGGTGTGGCTGTGTCACACTTGTGGGGGTGTGGCTGTGTCACACTTGGTGGGGGTGTGGCTGTGTCACACTTGTGGGGGTGTGGCTGTGTCAAGCTTGGTGGGGGTGTGGTTGTGTAAAGTTTGGTGGGGGTGTGGTTGTGTCAAGTTTGGTGGGGGTGTGGTTGTGTCAAGTTTGGTGGGGGTGTGGTTGTGTCAAGCTTGGTGGGGGTGTGGCTGTGTCAAGCTTGGTGGGGGTGTGGTTGTGTAAAGTTTGGTGGGGGTGTGGTTGTGTCAAGTTTGGTGGGGGTGTGGTTGTGTCAAGTTTGGTGGGGGTGTGGTTGTGTCAAGCTTGGTGGGGGTGTGGCTGTGTCAAGCTTGGTGGGGGTGTGGTTGTGTAAAGTTTGGTGGGGGTGTGGTTGTGTCAAGTTTGGTGGGGGTGTGGTTGTGTCAAGTTTGGTGGGGGTGTGGTTGTGTCAAGCTTGGTGGGGGTGTGGCTGTGTCAAGCTTGGTGGGGGTGTGGTTGTGTAAAGTTTGGTGGGGGTGTGGTTGTGTCAAGTTTGGTGGGGGTGTGGTTGTGTCAAGTTTGGTGGGGGTGTGGTTGTGTCAAGCTTGGTGGGGTGTGGCTGTGTTAAGCTTGGTGGGGGTGTGGTTGTGTAAAGTTTGGTGGGGGTGTGGTTGTGTCAAGTTTGGTGGGGGTGTGGTTGTGTCAAGCTTGGTGGGGTGTGGCTGTGTTAAGCTTGGTGGGGGTGTGGTTGTGTCAAGTTTGGTGGAGGTGTGGTTGTGTCAAGTTTGGTGGGGGTGTGGTTGTGTCAAGTTTGGTGGGGGTGTGGTTGTGTCAAGCTTGGTGGGGGTGTGGCTGTGTCAAGCTTGGTGGGGTGTGGCTGTGTCAAGCTTGGTGGGGGTGTGGTTGTGTCAAGCTTGGTGGGGGTGTGGCTGTGTCAAGCTTGGTGGGGGTGTGGTTGTGTCAAGCTTGGTGGGGGTGTGGCTGTGTCAAGCTTGGTGGGGGTGTGGTTGTGTCAAGCTTGGTGGGGGTGTGGCTGTGTCAAGCTTGGTGGGGGTGTGGTTGTGTAAAGTTTGGTGGGGGTGTGGTTGTGTCAAGTTTGGTGGGAGCGTGGCTGTGTCAAGTTTGGTGGGGGTGTCGTTGTGTCAAGCTTGGTGGGGGTGTGGCTGTGTCAAACTTGGTGGGGGTGTGGTTGTGTCAAGCTTGGTGGGGGTGTGGGTGTGTCAAACTTGGTGGGGGTGTGGCTGTGTCAAGCTTGGTGGGGGTGTGGTTGTGTAAAGTTTGGTGGGGGTGTGGTTGTGTCAAGTTTGGTGGGGGTGTGGTTGTGTCAAGTTTGGTGGGGGTGTGGTTGTGTCAAGCTTGGTGGGGGTGTGGCTGTGTCAAGCTTGGTGGGGGTGTGGTTGTGTAAAGTTTGGTGGGGGTGTGGTTGTGTCAAGTTTGGTGGGGGTGTGGTTGTGTCAAGTTTGGTGGGGGTGTGGTTGTGTCAAGCTTGGTGGGGGTGTGGCTGTGTCAAGCTTGGTGGGGGTGTGGTTGTGTAAAGTTTGGTGGGGGTGTGGTTGTGTCAAGTTTGGTGGGGGTGTGGTTGTGTCAAGTTTGGTGGGGGTGTGGTTGTGTCAAGCTTGGTGGGGGTGTGGCTGTGTCAAGCTTGGTGGGGGTGTGGTTGTGTAAAGTTTGGTGGGGGTGTGGTTGTGTCAAGTTTGGTGGGGGTGTGGTTGTGTCAAGTTTGGTGGGGGTGTGGTTGTGTCAAGCTTGGTGGGGTGTGGCTGTGTTAAGCTTGGTGGGGGTGTGGTTGTGTAAAGTTTGGTGGGGGTGTGGTTGTGTCAAGTTTGGTGGGGGTGTGGTTGTGTCAAGCTTGGTGGGGTGTGGCTGTGTTAAGCTTGGTGGGGGTGTGGTTGTGTCAAGTTTGGTGGAGGTGTGGTTGTGTCAAGTTTGGTGGGGGTGTGGTTGTGTCAAGTTTGGTGGGGGTGTGGTTGTGTCAAGCTTGGTGGGGGTGTGGCTGTGTCAAGCTTGGTGGGGTGTGGGTGTGTCAAGCTTGGTGGGGGTGTGGTTGTGTCAAGCTTGGTGGGGGTGTGGCTGTGTCAAGCTTGGTGGGGGTGTGGTTGTGTCAAGCTTGGTGGGGGTGTGGCTGTGTCAAGCTTGGTGGGGGTGTGGTTGTGTCAAGCTTGGTGGGGGTGTGGCTGTGTCAAGCTTGGTGGGGGTGTGGTTGTGTCAAGCTTGGTGGGGGTGTGGCTGTGTCAAGCTTGGTGGGGGTGTGGTTGTATCAAGCTTGGTGGGGTGTGGCTGTGTCAAGCTTGGTGGGGGTGTGGTTGTATCAAGCTTGGTGGGGTGTGGTTGTGTCAAGCTTGGTGGGGGTGTGGTTGTGTCAAGCTTGGTGGGGGTGTGACTCGTCTCAAGCTTGGTGTCGAAGCCTTGAGACAGTGTCAGAAAGCTTTCGTTCACATACAGACAGTCTGGATGAACAGCCACCACAATGTGTTCACCCGAACGCCTGTTTCATTCCCCATAGACCTAAGGGAGAAAGGAAGGGGGGGGGGGGAGTGTGTTAGGAGAGAACAGTTGAACAGAACACAATGGTGAACAGTGATCCTTCACTATAAATTCACCGCGCTGGGCACCATTACCCACCGGGAGGATACGGTGACCACCGCTGACGTAGACGGCTATTCGCAGAAAGGAACCAAAGTTTTCCTGGTGCAGTTGAGTCTATCCTGTCGCGCAAGTCCTCATGAGCCGCTGCGCTGTTATCCACCATCTGGTGGATATTCAAGCCGGTGAACGTCCGGTCTCGCTTCATGCAGGTCGGCGTTCAATCCCCGACCGTCCAAGTGGTTGGGCACCATTCCTTGGCCCCCCGTCCCATCCCAAATCAGTATCCTGAGTCCTTCCCAGTGCTATATAGTCGTAATTGCTCATTCTCCTGATAGTCTATACCCTTTGGAAACAATATACAACAAGTGCTATTGGTTCGACGTTGATTCAGCATTTGCTCTTGGATATACGTAAATATATACACATAAATACATGTTGAAGACACCAAAATACTCCTAATACCTGCAGGCTTTGCAGGTGTCTGGTACCACATGTTATCCCAAATTATATTTTTCTTTGTTACAAGTATTGAAGTTCCTTTCATCTGCGTGGATGTTATTGTGATGTTTACTTCTTACAGGCAGAGTAATGATGGTAGTGGCGATGAGGAGGTGGCCGCTGCTGCTGCTGCTGCTGCTGCTGCTGCTTGGTGAAGGTGAGGGGAGAGTGAGAGACATGACAGTGTCAACAATGAAGTACACGAGGAGTCACAATAACGTGGCTGAAATATGTTTACCAGACCACACACTAGAAAGTGAAGGGACGACGACGTTTCGGTCCGTCCTGGACCCAATTTTATTTTTTTGATTCACAATCGACTTGAGAATGGTCCAGGACGGATCGAAACGTCGTCGTCCCTTCACTTTCTAGTGTGTGGTCTGGTCAACAATGAAGTAGAAGGCATCATATGTCATTATTGCACATTGTAACTGGCACGAGGACTCTTTGCTACGTTACTTAGAGCGTTCCTTTATTGAGTGTTCCTTTATTGAGATCGTTCCTTTTTTGAGATCGTTCCTTTATTGAGAGCGTTCCTTTATTGAGTGTTCCTTTATTGAGAGCGTTCCTTTATTGGGAGCGTTCCTTTATTGGGAGTGGTCCTTTATTGAGATCGTTCCTTTATTGAGAGCGTTCCTTTATTGAGAGCGTACCTTTATTGAGAGTGTTCCTTTATTGAGATCGTTCCTTTATTGAGAGCGTTCCTTTATTGAGAGCGTTCCTTTATTGAGAGCGTACCTTTATTGAGAGCGTACCTTTATTGAGAGCGTTCCTTTATTGAGAGCGTTCCTTTATTGAGAGCGTGCCTTTATTGAGAGCGTTCCTTTATTGAGAGCGTCCTTTATTGAGAGCGTACCTTTATTGAGAGCGTACCTTTATTGAGAGCTTTCCTTTATTGAGAGCGTACCTTTATTGAGAGCGTGCCTTTATTGAGAGCGTACCTTTATTGAGAGCGTTCCTTTATTGAGAGCGTTCCTTTATTGAGAGCGTTCCTTTATTGAGAGCGTACCTTTATTGAGAGCGTTTCTTTATTGAGAGCGTTCCTTTATTGGGAGTGGTCCTTTATTGAGATCGTTCCTTTATTGAGAGCGTTCCTTTATTGAGAGCGTACCTTTATTGAGAGTGTTCCTTTATTGAGATCGTTCCTTTATTGAGAGCGTTCCTTTATTGAGAGCGTTCCTTTATTGAGAGCGTACCTTTATTGAGAGCGTACCTTTATTGAGAGCGTTCCTTTATTGAGAGCGTTCCTTTATTGAGAGCGTGCCTTTATTGAGAGCGTTCCTTTATTGAGAGCGTCCTTTATTGAGAGCGTACCTTTATTGAGAGCGTACCTTTATTGAGAGCTTTCCTTTATTGAGAGCGTACCTTTATTGAGAGCGTGCCTTTATTGAGAGCGTACCTTTATTGAGAGCGTTCCTTTATTGAGAGCGTACCTTTATTGAGAGCGTTCCTTTATTGAGAGCGTACCTTTATTGAGAGCGTTTCTTTATTGAGAGCGTTCCTTTATTGAGAGCGTTCCTTTATTGAGAGCGTACCTTTATTGAGAGCGTTCCTTTATTGAGAGCGTTCCTTTATTGAGAGTGTTCCTTTATTGAGAGCGTTCCTTTATTGAGAGCGTACCTTTATTGAGAGCGTTCCTTTATTGAGAGCGTACCTTTATTGAGAGCGTTCCTTTATTGAGAGCGTACCTTTATTGAGAGCGTTCCTTTATTGAGAGCGTACCTTTATTGAGAGCGTACCTTTATTGAGAGCGTACCTTTATTGAGAGCGTACCTTTATTGAGAGTGTTCCTTTATTGAAAGCGTTCCTTTATTGAGAGCGTTCCTTTATTGAGAGTGTTCCTTTATTGCAGGCGGGTCCAGGGACACACGCTCCTGCAGGGTAACGAGCATTGATGTCATTGACGTCGACGAAACGACCTCAAACTTCACCTACAGCATCAGTGTGGAGAACGAGGTGTCGTGCTCGAGGAATGGTGAGTCTGTACTCTAAAAGGTCCTCCTCAAACCCATCCTCTGAGGTTTCTCTTCAACCCAGCCACTGAGGTTCCTCTTGACCTTATCCTCAGAGGTCCTCCTTGAACCCATTCTCCGAGGTCCACCAAGAACTCATGCTTCGAGGACTTTTATGCTCATTCAAGGAGGTTAGTCTTCACTACCTCCCTGAATGAGTACCATTTGATCAGGACTCTGATGAGTACTGTCTACTCAGACTCACATATGAGTGTCTAATTTGCACCAGCATCCTCCCTCTGTGCAAAGCTGTTTGATTTATTCATTTATTCACCTGATCAATTACTCAAGAGTCTCATGATGCAGTCATGTCTCTCTCATAGGCCTAATATCTGCAGCTAGGGGAGGCCTATGCCACTCAAGGCGTCACAGGCCAACTTTAATATGTGTGGGACCAATATATATTAAATTTTCTTAATTCCAGATCACTGGCAAGGCGAAATCATATCCTGCCATGATGGACATATTACACAGGAATGCCAGATCAGGGTGAGTTGACATGCTGAAAGTATTGATTCTACGAATATATAGAGTTGTGTCCCTTTTCTCACAGTATAGTTTCACTTTATATTTAATACATTTTGGTGCATCTTACTGTGAAAACTTTGCCACATATACACACATTACTAAATACTAAAGTACTAAAGTATTTAGTAAGCAGGGGCCAGATTCACGAAAGTACTTACGAACGTGTACATCTTTCCTCAATCTTTGACGGCTTTGGTTACATTTATTAAACAGTTTACAAGCATGAAAATTTCCCATTCAATTGTTGTTATTGTTATAAACAGCCTCCTGGTGCTTCGGAGCTCATTAACTGTTTAATAATTGTAAACAAAGCCGCCAAAGATTGAGAAAAGTTGTACAGGTTCGTAAGTGCTTTCGTGAATTTGGCCCCAGGTTATTTCCTTGACTTTCATTTTTCGAGCTTTTATTCCATGCATTTAAAATGCTTTTTAAAAACTTCAAGTATGACATCAGCATTTTGGTATGCTTCAGATGTTTGCATAATTGTTCTCCATAATGTCTTTCAAAGTGACATGAGTAACTGTGAAAGCCAAGATCTTCCTGCTCTTAATTGTATTCCTCATTCTTTTTCTATACAACTGGTAAGTTGACTTCTGAGCATCCTCTCACAAACCTTAGAGACGCATGAAGCTGTCTAGAGGCTTCCACTTTCACTGTGTCGAGTGAATTTCTAAACCTGTAAGTAACTCTGCAAAGGTAAATCAAATTCAGACGTGTCAGGAAGAATGCTATTTCAGAACCCAATTTTCTATGTTTTCCAGTTTGGAGGTGGCGTATGCTGGGTGGGCGAGCCCGGGAGCTGGAGTCTGACTGTCGAACATGTTAAGTCAGGATGCTTCGACGCCCCGGGGCGAAACGTCATTCCTAACATCTCCATCTGGTTCAAGTGAGTGAGGTGAAGTCACCTGTTCTTGAATGAGTTAGGTTGTGTTTGGGTGAGGTGATGTCACCTGTTCTTAGATGAGTTAGGTTGTTCGAGTGAATGAGGTGATGTCACCTGCTCTTGGATGAGAAACAACCCATAGACAAAGCCCCTCTTCAAACCACGGTAACAATCAACATCCCACAGATAAGGCATATCTTAGGCTCTTCAGCCTAAGAGCATTGCCTACGAAGAAAACGCCGTGGTAAGTTACTTACAGCTCTCTAACAAAAGGCTCTTTATTACCTCATTTATGGCCACTCGCCAGACTAATGTGGAAAGCTAAATTGCTCTTTATCCCACTAATATAATTGTGGTGAGATGATAGTGCAAACAGACAAGGCAACTGTCAGTTGAGGATACATAAAGGTGAAGATGTACACGTCGGGAATACAGGTTGGAAATGAGGCATTGGTTGAGGGTATTTGACTTTACAGCACTGGAGAAAGGCCATATTCACAACATATAAAATACCTAGAGGGATTGAGAAGGCAAAGATTGTTCAGAATGGAATATGACAGGACGTGAGGTGTTGTCTGGTGGCCAGAGACCCAACTGACTGATGCCAGAAGTGCCTATTTAGTGTGAGAGGAGTGCATTAGTGAATAAGCAAAGTGACCATTAACTTACCATTAACACACAGTGTACGAGACCTTAACCTTACCATTAACCACACAGTGTACGGGGCCTCAATATAACCGTCGCTGGGTCGGACAAGAGAGTGAAGTCTTGGACACTCTACATTTTTAAGGTAAAATTATGTACTATCGTCTTATTTGTTTGAATGAAATGTGTGTGTGTGTGTGTGTGTGTGTGTGTGTGTGTGTGTGTGTGTGTGTGTGTGTGTGTGTGTATATATATATATATATATATATATATATATATATATATATATATATATATATATATATATATATATATATATATATATATATATATATATATATATATATATATATATAACGTGTACACTAAACTATATGCATGATAATATGTACACAAGAATGTACATGGGGAATGTGTACACGAGTATGTGCTCGTAATAATGAATACACAAGAGCCTGTATATAACAACGTGTACGGTTGTATTAGAGTACATATACAAATATACTGCATATACAAAAAAAAATAATTTTTTGAGATTTAAAAATACCAGATTTGTATCAAAATTATTTGTATTTAACTGTTAGTTTTGATATTCCCAAATATCAAATATTAAAATGTAAATCAATTTCTTTCCTGACCCTTTGCTTCACAGGCGCGGAGGAAGGAAGAGAACCCACCATGCAACCAGATTATTCTAGTAATTATTGAATGAGTATTATTGAATCTTAATATTAATCGTAGGAGATTAATCGTAGTAGGAGCATCGACAATAGTCAGGCCAATAGTACAATCACAGCTAATAGTGAAACAATAGTATTAGTAATAGAATCTTCAATATTATTCATTAGAGTAGCCTACTAATAACAGAAAACAAAATATATATATATTAGCAGTAATAGTATGGCAATAGAAGCTACTCTAGCTTGCTACTATTTACTCCTATTAGCCGTAAAACTATTCATGGTAACCAGTAACTCATCTATAATTAAATATATAATAATTCCATTCCCCCTACCGCGAGAAAGCCTAGGTCAACACCGCAGTTTGTGAGGCTAGACACCTTGTCCTCAGTGGGTGACAACAACGGGCTCACCCTCACTCGGGACTTCAAGGTCGACAGCTGCTACTGCTTCATAGTAAGTGATGGGACACACTTCTCCTGATGCCCGAGTCTCTGGCAGGGCCAGGACTCATTTACCCAACCACTTACGAAGCCTCTGCATTCTTTTAATAGTCTTGGTAGTGACTTTGTTTACACTTATCACACAGTTATCATGATTTCCGAGGCACTACGAGATGGTTTTAAACAATAATAATATTAGATTAAGACGTTTCCTAGTATGTAAACTGTTTAACTTATTTAGACGAAGCAGCCATGATTGGTGAAAGATGTATGGATTTCGTACATGGATGCGTAAGTGTTTGATGAATCCATGTGAATCATTTTCATCAAGTAGCCCTTAAATTAACTTAATTATTTTTTGCTCTATCCGTTGGTTAGTTTAAACCATATCAACAGCTTAGCTAACTCAGACATGTTATAATACTTACAGATTCGAGAACTGCCATTGAAACCTTGCAACAAGAACACATACGTGACAACATCCATCTGATCACAAATGTCATATCATTATTGTAAACACTCAAACGACAAGGCCGACGGGTACTTATCAACTGGGTGCTAAGTCATGTGGGAATAATAGGAAATGACATTTGCAGACGAAGCTGGAAAAACTTGCAACTAAGAGAAGAAATGTAGACATTTACATACCACAGAGTCTATCACAAATTAAGAAAGTAATTAGAAACAGAGCAATGCAGAAGATGTACAGTGACCACAACACAGCAGTTGCAACATCAGGATCTGCGGGTTGGTACAAGAATTGAACTAACTATGAACCACTTATTTCGATGAACGGGAGCAGTAGGAGTAGGACAACAGAAGTACACTTACATCGCATCAGGCTTGGATACCCATGTGCATGGGAAATAGGCTTACAGGTTCCAGAAGATGAGAGGAAATGTCAGCATTGTGGAGAAATGTCCGACAGTCTACTGGATTATTATAAAACACAGGAAGAACCCCTGGAAGAATGGCAAGCAGTTGGTATGGTATTACACATGCGTATCAACCCTGGCTAACACCTACATTGACCTCAGTGCTGCACAACCAGGTGGCGCTGCCACTCACAGGGAATCAGCCAAATCCCGTAAGTTAGAGAACTGGATCACCACTACAATTTGTCCCCATTGCTTCTGAGACACTCGGCGCCCGGGGTTAAAAGTGCCACCATTTTTTTTAATGAACTGGATTCTAGGCTCATTGAAACAACAAGAGACCCTAGAGCTGCCAGCTTCCTTTTCCAGCGCCTCAGCGTGGCGATACAGAGGGGAAATGCACACTGTATTCAGGGTTCCTGCCCGCCATCTGAAGAGCTGGAGGAACTCGACAACTTATGATAATCATCTTTGTACCCTATATGTAACTCCTTTTATGTACCAAAGTTTAAATAAAACGAATATACATGTATATATACAAAAGAATGGGAGTGGTAGGAGAAGAAAATATTAAAATGTTCAGTGAGAATCCACAAGGTCTTCTCTGAACACCCTTTATCTTCTTCTTCGAGGCTATGGGTCCCTACAATTGCAATAGAGGTGGTACCCTCACACTTTTATTATATATATATATATATATATATATATATATATATATATATATATATATATATATATATATATATATATATATGATGGTCAAGTGGATTAAGGCGTCTTGTACATACCAGATGCGTTGCTTCTGGGAGTATGGGTTCGAGTCACTTCTGGGGTGTGAGTTTTCAGTTATATATATATATATATATATATATATATGTCGTACCTAGTAGCCAGAACGCACTTTTCAGCCTACTATGCAAGGCCCGATTTGCCTAATAAGCCAAGTTTTCCTGAATTAATATATTTTCTCTAATTTTTATCTTATGAAATGATAAAGCTACCCATTTAATTATGAATGAGTCAATTTTTTTTTATTGGAGTTAAAATTAACGTAGATATATGACCGAACCTAACCAACCCTACCTAACCTAACCTATCTCTATAGGTTAGGTTAGGTTAGGTAGCCGAAAAAGTTAGGTTAGGTTAGGTTAGGTAGGTTAGGTAGTCGAAAAATAATTAATTCATGAAAACTTGGCTTATTAAGCAAATCGGGCCTTGCATAGTAGGCTGAGAAGTGCGTTCTGGCTATTAGGTATATATATATATATATATATATATATATATATATATATATATATATATATATATATATATATATATATATATATATATGAGTGGAATTGAAATTGAAATAAGTTTATTGAGTTACAATAGACACAAAGAGATGAGGTAGTGTAATCTTACTGTTACAGTTGCAGGCTGAGGGGTACGTGCCTCTCATGTCCCCAGTGGAAGCCTTCTCCCACCACGACTCCTGCTTCCCTAAGCCACTTGATGTGGTTCACACCTCCAGTCCTCTCAAGCGCAATACGTGAGTAGCTGAAGCCAATTGTTGACTGGAGGTAGTGTGTTGGTAGTGGTAGTTTGCTAGTGTTGCAGTCTGTTAAAATTACTAGTTCGTTAGTGTTCATATTGGCAATTGTCGAATGCAGTTTTTCCCAAGCTCATTTTGGATAAAAATCATTCTATTCTCAATCTCGAAACACTGACAACCCACCACCAAGCAAGCAACCCTCTCAGCTTGCCCGAGTCAGGCCACGGGCAGATAAATTGGATCAATTTAGATTCAGGAAAGACCTGGGTAAATACCGGTTTGGAAACTGGGGTTGTTGATGTGAGGATCTAATTACCGGGCAACATAGATTTGGGAATCACTTGATTGTTTAACAGTAGATATAGATATTTTCCTCCCCGAAACGCTTTGCGTAATAGTGGCTATAGGCATTGTATGTACTAGCTCTATCTATAAATTCATCATTAGTTGTATGACCCCCTTGTATGTATGTACTTTACCTGAATAAACATTTGAATTTGAAATGAGTGAGTTTGGGTGGATTTAAATTGGACCTGTGTGGTATGGAGCGATAGGCTTTCTGAATTGTTTTACTTACGTGGTTCTTCAACAGGCTTCACGTGGTAGCGGTGGTGGGTGCAGCAACACTGGTGGTGCTAGGTGTGGGAATGCTTCTGGTGCTGCTAGGCAGGAGGTCGCCCAGCAAGCTAGGAGCAGGCAATGAGCTTCACCGCAAGTTCTATAACTCTCACGGTAAGGCTGAAAGAAATTGAAGGCGTCATTAGGCTTGAGATAACTTCTACTGTCATGTTATTAATAGGAGGGGGATTAGGAGCTGCATCTTGGTGAACACACACACACACACACACACACACACACACACACACACACACACACACACACACACACACACACACACACACACACACACACACACACACACACACACACTAGTGCTAGTGAACACACACACACACACACACACACACACACACACACACTAGTGCTAGAGAGACTGATCTGAAGCAGGCAAGTCGAACACTTAGAACAAATCAGTTTTGTCTCAAGGCATCAACACGGATTTAGTAAAGGCAAATTATGTTAAAGGAAACCATTAACACAACACCGTCTAGATAACCCTTGCCATATATCACTGTTGTTGTAACTGTATCTATATATATATTACTGTAACTGTATCCCATATATCACTGTCGCTGTAACTGTATCACCCAGGGAAGGCTTCTGGGGCTGGGCGTCGCGAGCTGCTGTTGTTGTGCACCCATGATGTCATCCATCACCCTCTGGTCAAACGCCTCACCAAAATGCTTCAGGGGAAATTTAACGTAAGTCCTGTGCTAAGTCAGGGGCCTTAAGATAAGTCCTGTGCTAAGTCAGGGGCACTGAGATAAGTCCTCTGCTCAACCAGGGACACTGAGGTAAGTCCTCTGCTAAGCCAGGGACCCTAAGGTAAGTCCTCTGCTAAGCCAGGGACCCTAAGGTAAGTCCTGAGCTCAGCCAAGGACCCCTAAGGTGCAAGGGACTCCATCTTGCAGCGATCCTGTGTTAGATCCGAGGATCAACGTCTCCGCGGCCAGGTTTCCGACCATGCCTCCTGCCTGCTGCTCTGGGACACGCACATCTCCTGCGCCAGGTAAGTCCACGACGGGCTCACCATATCCCGTGCTGATTGGATCGTTTTGTTCCCAGTAGCTGAATCTAAAACAACAACATGCTGGTCTGGGCGACCGGGCTGTTAGACACAACTACTAGCACATGAATCACAGTCCGGTTGATCAGGTATCTACAAGATCTCTCTCTCTCTCTCAGGTATACGACCTATGCGACTATGGGGACCCGAAACGGCTTCAGGACAGCAACGAGTGGCTAATGAGGAAATTGGTAGGGGTGCCTAGTGCCACAGTGCCGGTAGAGGGAGTGCCTAGTGGTGCCAGAGTGCCGGTAGAGGGAGTGCCTAGTGCCAGAGTGCCGGTAGAGGGAGTGCCTAGTGGTGCCAGAGTGCCGGTAGAGGGAGTGCCTAGTGCCAGAGTGCCGGTAGAGGGAGTGCCTAGTGGTGCCAGAGTGCCGGTAGAGGGAGTGCCTAGTGGTGCCAGAGTGCCGGTAGAGGGAGTGCCTAGTGGTGCCAGAGTGCCGGTAGAGGGAGTGCCTAGTGGTGCCAGAGTGCCGGTAGAGGGAGTGCCTAGTAGTGCCGGAGTTACCATAGTGCTGGTGACATCCCCGGCCCTCAACGCCATCACGCGGACCCTTCTCAACCCCAACAATGGTGAGCAACTTTTTTCCTTCCATTTTTTACACTGTTTTGATACAAAGGTAAACTAGTTGTGACTTTATCAGGCTGAGAGCTCGCCCTTCCTGGTGCCAGGTGAGTGGCACTACAGTGTGCCAGGCACCACTACACCACGGGGACTGTTTGTTTATATATATACACTTTAAGCACTTTCTATTCACTATAACAATAAACAAACTACACATGAGCTAAAGCTAGAACAAACAGAACATAAGAGAGTTCATTGCACCGACCTGTATACATGTGAGTCACAGCTGATCCGCCGGCCACCAAAACAATAACAGTCAAGCGAGCATCCATCCGGTACAACAATATTGCCCGAAACGCTTTGCGTACTAGTGGCTTTAGGTATTGTATGTACTACCTCTATCTTTAAATCTAACAGGATGTTTGTACTGTAACGCTGTAACTATGTATGTACTGTTCCTAAATAAATTATTATTATTATTATTAATATTATTATTATAACTCCAGCCAGGTACGATAGCTACAACACATTTACTAAACATTTGATTACAGGAGCAAACAGCAATTTCTTCTGTTATTTATGGAACCTTGTTCTAGTTCTAGAGTATCTAGTGCAGCCCAGCAACTTGCAACTATTGACCAACACATCTAGACTTGAAATTGACGAGAATTGTATTCGAGAAAAAGACATTTAGACTATCAGATCGTGGGACGACATATTGTCTCGGTGAGAGGGGATGTTTAATGTCTTAATGGATGTTATTTATAAGTTCTATAAGGCTGTGGGAAAACATATGCACAAGTATAATTATTTTGCCTCAGTTTAAATGTGATGTAAGTCAGGAGTTATATAAAGGGATATGTAACATTGTGGTGTGCTTGCAGAAGCAGATACTGTGCTGACGCCAGACCAGGACCACCACCACCACCACCACTACCAGCACCACCACCACCACTACCAGCACCACCACTACCACCAACAGCTGATCTTCGCACTTCGCATCATCATCAACAGTTCTCTCATCCGCGACTACTCCAGAGTCTTCGTGGTCAGGTACAGTCACTCATCACTCCCACTACGCCCACTACCACTGTACCCATCATCATCCTTCCCTCTTCCACCCCTCCTGAAGACTCATAACTCATCTCCATCCTGTCATCGAGAGAGCCGCTTAACCCGTCATATATTCCAGGCTTGGTGGCGGCGCTGAAGAGGACGTGCAACTAATGGTAGCGAGTCGTCGATATGACCTCGACACGCACTTCGACAGGCTTCTATATGATATATCAGGTCAGGTCAAGGTACATAGGATTAAGGAGTATGTTGACCACATTACACACTAGAAGGTGAAGGGACGACGACGTTTCGGTCCGTCCTGGACCATTCTCATGTCACAATCGACTTGAGAATGGTCCAGGACGGACCGAAACGTCGTCGTCCCTTCACCGTCTAGTGTGTGGTCTGGTCAACATACTTCAGCCACGTTATTGTGACTCATCGCCTACATAGGATTAAGGACTTGCCCGAAACGCTATTAGCTACAAATGATATTTTCACATTGTAGCTGTAACTCATTATAATTGTCTGCTTTCCTTGCTAGTGTGAGAAAGGAGGATGAAGATACTGGTATCTGGGGAAAGGAGAGCAACGAGGCATACGCAGACAGGTGGTTTTGAGAGAGGTGTCTGCTGGCTAGACCGCCTCGGGCCCTCTGGAAGCAGAGCGAAGCACACGCTACTGTCTTCACTATATCAGCAAGTTTAACACCAGCATCATTAGCACCTGTAGACCTGCCCCCCCCACTCCAACGGCATCACTACCACCACCATTCAACCTTCACCACCACTACTTCCAACCACCACAACTACCATCCCTTAACACCTACTACAACCAGTATGCACCAGGATCTATTGCTAGAGGATGTTGTTGTTGTTATAGCTACTCAGAGCGAAGTGTCCATGTAGCACGGGCTATGGTGAGCCCGTATGCTAGAGTACTGTAGTCCTGTATACATACACATGCAAAGATGCTAAACGCCTGCTAAACATCTGTCGTAAGTTATAATGCAGCCTCCTGAGCCTTGAAGAAACACCCCCAGCACCACTGTATATGTAGGAATGGGGTATATGTAGCATAGGGTATATGTAGGCATAGGGTATATGTAGGCATAGGGTATATGTAGGCATAGGATATATGTAATATTTTATGTTCCTTTGGTATGAGGGAGCTTTTCTGGCCACCCAGCATTGTGAACTTTAGTGCCCTATGTCCTATGGCTGGGAGGGTAGGGCAGTCAGGTACCATCCCAAAGATCCTGGGTTCGATTCCCGCGGTAGGACAGAAACTCTTAGGCAACGTTTTCATTCACTGGATGCTTCTGCATGTTCACTTAGCAGTAAATAGGTGCCAGGAGTTAGTCGTCTGTTGTGGGTTGCATCCTGGGCAGGGTCAGTAATTCGACTCTGGGAAGGATGGGGGGAGGTCTATCTATCTATCTATCTATCTATCTATCTATCTATCTATCTATCTATCTATCTATCTATCTATATAAATAAATATATATATATATATATATATATATATATATATATATATATATATATATATATATATATATATATATATATAACCCATTGGAGGGGATCTAAACATTCCCTCTAATGCGTGGTTTCCTCCGGGGCTATGGGTTCCCCTTCTTCCAGCTAGAGGTGGTACTCCCTTCCTTATATATATATATATATATATATATATATATATATATATATATATATCCATATATATATACATATATATATATATATATATATATATATAATATATATCCATATATATATATATATATATATATATATATATATATATATTATATATATAATATATATCCATATATATCCATATATATCCATATATATATATATATATATGGATATATATAATGTTGTTGTTAATGTTGTTGTTGTTATAGATTCAGCTACTCGGAACAAGTTCCAAGTAGCACGGGCTATGGTGAGCCCGTAACTTACCCGGTACAGGAGCGGGGGCAAGTAGCACGGGCTATGGTGAGCCCGTAACTTACCCGGCACAGGAGCGGTGCCCGTGGTACTGGCTTTGTAAGAATGTCAACACACAAATGTTATGTACTCTCACAATCACAGTATACCTTCTTGTATATAAGTCAATACATCAAAATGTTGTCTCCCTCATGGCGTAGTGATAACACACTCAGCGAGCAATTTGTCCTGGGTTCGTATCCTGGCCGGGGAGGATTAACTAGGCGCCAATCCTTAACTCAATCTGTTCACCCAGCAGTAAAATGGGTACCTGGTGCTTAAACGATTTGGCTTCAATAAAAAGCCTAACGTGTATGAATACACTCTGGCTTTCTGTCCCCGACACCGTGGATTATTATGTATCAATAGAATGTAACAACTACAAGAATAGAACAACTACTGTACAAGAATGTAACAACTCTTGTATATATCTAAAAAAAAAAAAAAAAAATTAATAATATAAATATTGTTGAGTGCTGTCTGTCCTTTACTCCTCAGAGAAGCCAAGTCTGGAGTTATTTATTATATATATTTCTTCATTAACATGTAAGTGTATTTCACTAGACATTGAAAGATGTAAATAACACCTGATTTTTGTTTTGAGTTCAAATGTTACTTTTTGTTTACGTATATGAATAGAAAATGTGGTGCAGCCATAACAGAAAATGTGGTGCTACCATAACAGAAAACGTGGTGAACATGCAGTTGAAGGGGAGACTTGATAAGATACAACCATATCAGTATTCCAAAATATTGAAAATTATACAGCATAGTACTTTGTTAGATCACTATAATTTAGGAATGTTCTTCCATACTAAGCTCGTACAACGATTTGAGTCGTACATTCGTACGTTCTCACCTAGTTGTGCTTGCGGGGGGTGTTGAGCTCTGGCTCTTTGGTCCCGCCTCTCAACTGTCAATCAACTGATGTACAGGTTCCTGAGCCAACGTGTGCCCGAAACTGTGTGTATATTAATGGCTTTAGGTGTAATATATATATATATATATATATATATATATATATATATATATATATATATATATATATATATATATATATAGCTCTGTCTAGATCCAACATTCTGTTTGTGAATGCTTTTGCATATATGTACTTTTACCTGATTAAACATTATTATTTTTATTATTATTATAAGGAATATTGAAGAACAGTATCTGTAAACTGGTTGTTAGCTGGGGCTCACATAGTAATTGGGGTCCATAGGTAATGGGGTCCACTACCACTCTCTACATAGGTAATGGGGTCCATTACCACTCACTACATAGGTAATGGGGTCCACTACCACTCACTACATAGGTAATGGGGTCCACTACCACTCTCTACATAGGTAATGGGGTCCATTACCACTCACTACATAGGTAATGGGGTCCATTACCACTCACTACATAGGTAATGGGGTCCACTACCACTCTCTACATAGGTAATGGGGTCCATTACCACTCACTACATAGGTAATGGGGTCCACTACCACTCACTACATAGGTAATGGGGTCCACTACCACTCACTACATAGGTAATGGGGTCCACTACCACTCTCTACATAGGTAATGGGGTCCACTACCACTCTCTACATAGGTAATGGGGTCCACTACCACTCTCTACATAGGTAATGGGGTCCACTACCACTCTCTACATAGGTAATGGGGTCCACTACCACTCACTACATAGGTAATGGGGTCCACTACCACTCACTACATAGGTAATGGGGTCCACTACCACTCTCTACATAGGTAATGGGGTCCACTACCACTCTCTACATAGGTAATGGGGTCCACTACCACTCTCTACATAGGTAATGGGGTCCACTACCACTCTCTACATAGGTAATGGGGTCCACTACCACTCTCTACATAGGTAATGGGGTCCACTACCACTCTCTACATAGGTAATGGGGTCCACTACCACTCACTACATATGTAATGGGGTCCACTACCACTCACTACATGGATATGGGGTCCACTACCACTCACTACATGGATATGGGGTCCACTACCACTCACTACATAGGTAATGGGGTCCACTACCACTCACTACATAAGTAATGGGGGTCCACTACCACTCACTATAAGGATATGGGGTCCACTACCACTCACTACATGGATATGGGGTCCACTACCACTCACTACAAGGATATGGGGTCCACTACCACTCACTACAAGGATATGGGGTCCACTACCACTCACTATAAGGATATGGGGTCCACTACCACTCACTACATGGATATGGGGTCCACTACCACTCACTACAAGGATATGGGTCCACTACCACTCACTACAAGGATATGGGGTCCACTACCACTCACTATAAGGATATGGGGTCCACTACCACTCACTACAAGGATATGGGGTCCACTACCACTCACTACAAGGATATGGGGTCCACTACCACTCTCTACATAGGTAATGGGGTCCACTACCACTCTCTACATAGGTAATGGGGTCCACTACCACTCACTACATAGGTATGGGGTCCACTACCACTCACTACATAGGTAATGGGGTCCACTACCACTCTCTACATAGGTAATGGGGTCCACTACCACTCTCTACATAGGTAATGGGGTCCACTACCACTCTCTACATAGGTAATGGGGTCCACTACCACTCTCTACATAGGTAATGGGGTCCACTACCACTCTCTACATAGGTAATGGGGTCCACTACCACTCTCTACATAGGTAATGGGGTCCACTGCCACTCACTACATAGGTAATGGGGTCCACTACCACTCACTACAAGGATATGGGGTCCACTACCACTCACTACAAGGATATGGGGTCCACTACCACTCACTACATGGATATGGGGTCCACTACCACTCACTACAAGGATATGGGGTCCACTACCACTCACAGAATGGATATTGGGTCCACTACCACTCACTACAAGGATATGGGGTCCACTACCACTCACTACATGGATATGGGGTCCACTACCACTCACTACAAGGATATGGGGTCCACTACCACTCACAGAATGGATATGGGGTCCACTACCACTCACTACATGGATATGGGGTCCACTACCACTCACTACATGGATATGGGGTCCACTACCACTCACAGAATGGATATGGGGTCCACTACCACTCACAGAATGGATATGGGGTCCACTACCACTCACAGAATGGATATGGGGTCCACTACCACTCACAGAATGGATATGGGGTCCACTACCACTCACTACATGGATATGGGGTCCACTACCACTCACAGAATGGATATGGGGTCCACTACCACTCACTACATGGATATGGGGTCCACTACCACTCACTACATGGATATGGGGTCCACTACCACTCACTACATGGATATGGGGTCCACTACCACTCACAGAATGGATATGGGGTCCACTACCACTCACTACATGGATATGGGGTCCACTACCACTCACTACATGGATATGGGGTCCACTACCACTCACAGAATGGATATGGGGTCCACTACCACTCACTACATGGATATGGGGTCCACTACCACTCACTACAAGGATATGGGGTCCACTACCACTCACTACAAGGATGGGGTCCACTACCACTCACTACATGGATATGGGGTCCACTACCACTCACAGAATGGATATGGGGTCCACTACCACTCACTACATGGATATGGGGTCCACTACCACTCACTACAAGGATATGGGGTCCACTACCACTCACTGCAAGGATATGGGGTCCACTACCACTCACTACATAGGTAATGGGGTCCACTACCACTCACTACATGGATATGGGGTCCACTACCACTCACTACATAGGTAATGGGGTCCACTACCACTCACTACAAGGATATGGGGTCCACTACCACTCACTACATAGGTAATGGGGTCCACTACCACTCACTACATAGGTATGGATATGGGGTCCACTACCACTCACTACATGGATATGGGGTCCACTACCACTCACAGAATGGATATGGGGTCCACTACCACTCACTACATAGGTAATGGGGTCCACTACCACTCACTACAAGGATATGGGGTCCACTACCACTCACTACAAGGATATGGGGTCCACTACCACTCACTACAAGGATATGGGGTCCACTACCACTCACTACAAGGATATGGGGTCCACTACCACTCACTACAAGGATATGGGGTCCACTACCACTCACTACAAGGATATGGGGTCCACTACCACTCACTACAAGGATATGGGGTCCACTACCACTCACTACAAGGATATGGGGTCCACTACCACTCACTGCAAGGATATGGGGTCCACTACCACTCACTACAAGGATATGGGTCCACTACCACTCACTACAAGGATATGGGGTCCACTACCACTCACTACAAGGATATGGGGTCCACTACCACTCACTACATAGGTAATGGGGTCCACTACCACTCACTACAAGGATATGGGGTCCACTACCACTCACTACAAGGATATGGGGTCCACTACCACTCACAGAATGGATAAAAGGCATAA